CCGGAAGCGTGAACGACTAGGTAATGCCGTGCTCCGCACAGAAGGCTGCCAAGAGGTCAGAGGAGAACTCACCACCTCTGTCAGAGTGCAGACGCAGGACAGGGAAGTCCCGCTCAAACCGCTCGCGGAGCTGGAGACGCACAGCGCGGATCCAGGGGATCAAAACAGCAGGGACGTCCCCCTTGCTGCGCAAGGGGAAGACCGTGGTGTAACGCGTGTAGTCGTCGACAACCAGCAAAAAGTACCGCTCACGGCCCTGTCCCTGGACGCGGGCTGGGCCCCACACGTCCAGGTGGAGCGTCTGCAGGGGAGCCTCTGTGGGAGGAAACGAGGAGGAGTGAGGAGCGGCGCGCTGCCGCCCCTCGACGCAAGGAATGCAGGGCGGCGCAGGCGAGGGAGGGAGGGCAGGCAGAGACCTGGGAAGCCCAGAGACTAGGGAGCGAGAGTGCATGCCACGAAGGCGAGGAAGGGAGGGGTGACCAAGGCGGTGGTGCCACAGAAGCGTGTCGTGCGACAGGCGGCGGCACTCACACTGGGTAGCTACCTGAGCAGACGCGTACAGCTGAGGAGACAAAGGAGTGGAGCGTGAAACAGTGGTGAGGGTGTACAGACTAGACCCCGGCTCACGAGTGAACGTGGCCAGGTGGCGGCCAGTCTTGGAGCACGTGCAGATCGCCACACGCTGCCCTCCAGGAGTCCAGGTGTCAACCCAGTGATCCTGGAGGACGGCGTTGCTCACCAGGTTCGTAGAGAACGAGGGAACGTGGAGACCTGACAGCTCACCAGACGGGACCGCCGGGCACGAGAGCACAGTCGTGGCTCGTGCAAGCACTGGGCCCCCAGAGGGGTCAGCCAGTGAGACAGGGACAAGTGCAGGGAGGGGAGTGACGGTGGTGCTATCGCGAAAGAAACAGCGGGAAGCACCAGAGTCAAGTGTAAACGTGTGCAAGGCCTGAGTCGACTCAGTACCAAGGGGAGCAGACTCACTAGCACCTAGGGCTGCAGCCCTTATACCGGGGTCAATACCAGGATCAGGCGGCACACACAAGTAGCAGTCACCCTCAGCACTAACAGTCAATGCATACATAGCAGCAAGAATAACATCATAGTCCAGATCAAAGATAGGCACATCACGCCTAAGCAGCTCGGCCCAGTTGGGGAACTCAGTAGCATCAGGATACTTGGCACGCCAGGCGTCACTAAGCCTGGCAAAACAACGATACTCAGTGTGAAAACCGTTGCAGGGGCGACCCTTGCGGGGGCCAGTACGAATGACATAGGGGCAGCGGTCAGAACCCCGAGACGCCCCACGCCCAGCATACCAGTCATTGAGCTGCTGGGAGGTGAGGGGAGGAAGCTGCTGCTGCTGCTGTGGCTGCTGCTGCTGCTGCTGCTGCTGCTGCTGCTGGCCACCCTTCTGGCCAGATCCACCCCCACTCCCACCTCCACCGCCACTGCCGCTGCCTCCTCCCCCACCACCGCCGCCGCCGCCTCCACCGCCCCCGGTCCTGCCGCCACCCCACCCACCGCCTCCACCCCCACGTCCACCCCCACCACCTCCACCACCCCCGCCGCCTCCACCACCGCTCCCTCCACCGCCACCTCCGCCACCCCTGCCACCCTTGCCGCCCCTGCCACCACCACGCTTCCCACCAGGAGCGGAAGCCGCTGCGACCTTCTCCGCACCGAGGAAGTCGACAGCAGTAGCAGCAGAGGCGTAGGAGGGGTCAAGAGGGGAGGGGGAGCACCCCTCAAAGAGGGGAGTGCGGGGAGTGCCACGAGCAGCACCGACAGCGAGGATGTTCTTCTCTGCTGCGACCAGCTGCTGCTCGAAGTCGTCCAGAGTGATAGTTGGAGGATCCTTGGCAAGGAAGTAATCCCTGACAGAGCGAAGAGTGTCAGGGAGGCGGGTGACGAGGATGTAGAGGGTGAAGTACAGCGGGGGGGTGTTCGTGGCGAGGAACTCGGCGGTAAGAGCGGCTCGAAAGCGGGCGTCACTAGCGCGGAGGTGAGTGATAAGGTCGGCAGCAGTGTGAAACGAGGCTAAGTCTGGGAACAGGTATGGCAGGATGAGACTACCAACGGTGGCTGTGGCCGGGGCGGAATAGCGGGCAACGACAGCATCATACAGCGTCTTGGCAGTCTTAAGCTGGTTGAAATGCGCGCGCTCAGAGATCGGTAGGTGATTGCGAATAACAAGGCGTGCGACTGCGTCGCGGAGCTCCCACTGTGCTCGTTCAGGGGCAGGAGCAGTCTCAGCTGGAGTAGGGACAGTGCCAGTGACATAGGCTAGTAGTGATACTCCGTCTGCGACGTCAGTCATAAGGTAAAGTCGCAGATCACTAAGCCAGGTGTCAAACTCGATGGGGCGGCCGTCAGGCTCAAAAGCGAGAACAGTAAGGGTCGCCATGGTTGCAGCGCAGGCAAAAGTAGCTGGCTCAGGCAGCAGGCTCAGGCAGCAGGCTCAGGCAGCAGGCTCAGGCAGTAGGCTCAGGCAGCAGGCAAAGGCTGCAGGTTCAGGCAGCAGGCAACTGTAGCAGGCAGGTGCGCAAGGCAGACGGTAGAGGCGCAAGGCAGGCAAGAAAAAGACAGGGTAAACCCTAAACCCTGGCGGCAGGTACAGGCGGACGCAATGCACGGGGCAGCAATGCGCTGTACGAGAGGCAATCGCGACGTGCAGGGCCTAGGCGGGCCGCGCACGGACGGTAGGTGCAGCGCGCAGCGCTGGAGTGGGCCGCGCAGGCAGCAAATGCGACGCGCGGGGCGGAAAAGGGGCTGCGCGCGAGCAGCACATGCGACGCGCGGGCTGCAGACGGGCTGCGCGGGGCCTTAGCGGGCTGCGCGAGGCAGGGACGGGCCGCGCGCGAGCTATGCGGGCTCAGGGCGGGCTGCGCGGGCGACGGACGGGGCGCGACGCGGCTGGCAGCAGCAGTGCGCGCTAAAAAAAAGGCGTGCGCGCGCAGCCGAGGCGCGCGCGGGCAGCAGGCTAGGCAGACCAAAAGGCAAGGCAGGTAGGCAGGCCGTTGGTGAGGTAACTTAGTAACTGGTGGGCCCTTAAACTTAGGTCCTAAGAACCTGCTCTAGATGCCATGTCGAGATAGCTAGGCAAGGTGGTTCGATTGACGAGAGAGTTTGGTACATGACACACAACCCTAAAGTGTTATCCCCTATAACATCTACCCCACTACAGCCTACCAATATATATCACACATATATATCATTTGACATGGGAGACCGCGAGCATTCTATTTACTTGCATCCCGCCGACAAGTTTGTCCGATTTGATGGTGAAGTTGCGGAATGTAGAAACCATGAAAGCTAACAGGGCATGAATTGAAGAAAGAAGCTTAGAGATTTCCACATTGCAGGGATATGATGGGCATTCAGAAACGGGTTGCCCTATAGGCTGTTATGAGTAGCATTTTGATACGGCTTCAAAAGCCAAGACACTTCATATTAGAAGCACAAAGCTGAAATGGAACACCCCTGTTTGAAAGCAATGTTTCCACTGGATGAGAATGGAATGTACGATCATATTTCAGGAACGGTGTTACTATAAAAGGGTAAGAAACAAACTCTTCCCTCCCTCCCGCTTTGTTGAGACACGCTTGACATCTCTGCTACAGCTCGGCATCTCCGAGGGACCTATGCCATCCCATCCCAACCTTGAGAAACTGCTACCTTCCAATCACGAATTCGTTCTTTTCCCGCCAAACACCTCTTTCCAACAAGATCTCCATTCCGTTCTCATCAGTTCAGTTCCTGAATCCCGATTTTGCCTTGGTTTACAGTATGAATGAGTCGCTACATTTCTTTCCCAGACAACAACGAACTGAGTGTTTCGCGTTGCGCAACGGGCCCGCCTTTCACGGTGAATGTGATCATCAACACGAGAACTGATAGGACGAGCATCTATTTTGAGTCTCGCTAGCTCTTCTTGGTGGCAGTAGCATTCGTATCTTTCCACATCTCCTACTCGCTCCGGATTGATGTATGTCCGAGTGTGACTTGAAATTTCTGGCTAAACTGCTGATGGAAACGGAAAAGAGCGGCTTGGTTTCTTGCTACCCGCACTAGCTCTACCTGGTGGCGTGAGCATCGCCTTGCGTCATGGAGTTCACGATTCGATTTAGGGTGCCGGCCACTCTGCTTAGAAACACAGGTAGCAATGGCGCCGCCACTTCGTTGCCCAGCAGCACCAATACCAGCAGCATTCCCACTAAAAGCAACAGTAGCGGTAGTACCGACGGTGGCAGCAGCAGCCCTGATATTGTTAACGAGCAAGCAACGGTCACGATTACGCAGCCAGCAGCGGCTTCCCACGTGGATTATTCCATATCCGTTGATCCGCAGGAGCCGCTCCAATCGGTGTTCAACAGGCTGTTCCAGTCCCACCTGCCGCACTGCTGCCTGCCAAGTCAGCAGACACGTGAGCAGCAGGATGGCGTGGATAAGGCCGGCGACCAAAAGGGTCCGACGGACGAACAGAAGCAGGCTGTTCGGTTCATGGCTGTAGGGCAAGTGGTGTACCTGTCGCCTGAAGCATCAGCGGAAAAGGCCAAGCTTAAAGCGGGTACAGTGGTAAAAGTGCTCCCGGTAAAATCGAGGGAGGGGGGGAGAAGGAAAAACCAAACTCGGCAGGTATCGCTGGGAGCAGCAGCAGCAGCAGCGGTGCTGCGAGTCACACACCAGCCACGGCTACTGTGTGTGCTCCAGTCAACCCGGAACCTGCACCTCCTCCTGCTGCTACGCCTGTCGCTACCGCTACGCCCTCCCCTCTCCCTGCGCCTGTCGCTTCGTCCGTCGCTGCGCCTGCTTCTGCTCCCGCCTCCGCGCATGCCGCTGCGCCTATCACCGCGCCTGTCTCCGCGCCGCCGGCCCCTGCGACTGGCAGCAACAGCAACACCGTCACCAATACCAGCAGGCGCGTCAGCAGCAGCCGTCGCATCCGACCCAGCATTACGAGCCAGCTAGACTTCGAACCGATCTCCCGGCCGCACATGGTGCACCACGTCGACGTGAACCTCCCTTGGAACCACTCCCTCTGCGCCTGCTGCCTCTCGCGCATCCTCCACCCCGCCACCCCCACCACCTACCAGACCTCCACCCCCAACGCCCTCCGGCTGCACCTGCAGCAGCCGGTGGATGGGAGCGTCAAGCCGTGCCCTGCCAGCCACAACCGCCCGTCCCAGGCTATCCTCGCGTATTCCGCCACGGTTAGAGTGCAGAGCCTCTGGGCTACCATGGGCCCGGGTGTGGGGCGCGGGGGGAGCGGGCGCACTGCGCTTGCTGCGTCTGCTGCTCGTGCTTCTAGGGTTGACATTTCCTCCGGGCCTCCTGCCGTGCAGTTCAAATGGAAGGCGGATTTCGCGCCCATGCCTGCTGCCGAGGGGATGTTTCTCGAGTGGATGGCAGAGCCACGTGTCGGGCTGCTGTTGGACCTGGACGTGGTCAGATGCCAGCTGGCAGATATGATGAAGATTCATGATCTGGCAACAGCAAGTAGTGGTGCTACAGCCGCTGGTGGTGCTACAGCCGCTGGTGGTGCTACAGCCGTTGGCGGTGATCCCAAGCACTTCTGGTGGTGCTGCTGGCAGTGCAGCGCGTGTTGGACCGCCTACCGCCGCTGCCTCTCCGTTGTGGTCTTCCTCGTGCTTATAGCGAGGCTGCCCCGTATAGTCACTCTCTGGCGCCTGCACATGAAATCCTGCTACGTCGCCTTCCCCCCCCTGGCGAATCAGCTAAACGCTGGGAGGCAGATCGGGGGGGTGGGGGGCAGGCAGGCGGAACGGCAGGCGAGTAGGCAGGCGGGGAAGGGGGGAGGGAGGCAGGTGGGTGGGGAAGCGGAGGAGGATTGCTTTGGATCGATTCTGGTGCAGGTGCTCGGAGTGAAAGGGAAGAAGGAGCTGGAGTCGGGGTTTGCTGCTCATGTGCTGCCTCTGCTGCCTGGGGGAAGACGGGCACACGGGGGTATGAGAGGGGGGGTGGGGAGAGGAGCTGGAGTAGGAGGAGGGTTTGGTTGGGTGGAAGGGGGAGAGGAGTGGAGGGAGGGGTTGAGAGGGGTGGAGTGGGATGAGTATGTGGAGCGTGTGGGGGAGATTATCTCCCATGGAGGGCTGGAGGCTGAACAGTACAGGTGCAGCTGAAGGCAGTGCGGAGGAGACACCGAGGGCGCAGGAAGGAGTGGGGATGGTGCTGCTGGTAACGGTGGTGGTACTGCGAGTGGCATGGTCATAACTGGCGTTGACCCGACTGACTTTGCTCTCCGCGCTGCATTCATTCTCTGTGTACCGCTTGCTGCCACCTATGGCGTTCAGGCGCTTACTGGGGCGTGCAGTAACAGGTACAAGGAGCGCGTGGAGGACGCTGCTGTGGAGGCAGCCAGGCAGCGGCTGGCAGAGAGGCTCACAAAGAGGGCAGGAGAGGGAGAGGGGGTAGGAGAGGGAGAGGCGGCAGCAGGGCAGAAGCTGGCAGAGGGAGACAGAGAACAGGAGGGAGGCACAGAGAGAAACAGAGAGGAAGGCGAAAGTACAGGGGCGGGAGGAGCAGCAGCAGGAGCTGCTAGTACTGCTGCTAATTCCCGCCTCATGCCAGTCATCAGTGACCCATCAGTGGCACTCTTCACATACCGAGCTGCCTGCCTCCTCCAATGGGTGCGAGTGCACGGCCCCAGGCTCAATCCCCCCAGCTACTGCACCCGCACCAACCCGGAAGCCCCACCCCTGGCTCTCCCACACCCAGTGCACGACCTCCCGAGCCTGCTGGTCAGGTTCGGCGCCATTCCCAAGCCTGTGGGCGCGGCAGGTTTGGAAGGTTCTGCGGTGCAGGAGTTTGGTGTGGCAGGAGGGGTTTCGGGGTGGGAGGAGTTTCCAGTGGGGGACAGAGAGGGCCTGAAGGCGCATGGCGGTGGCAGTGCTCTGGGAGGCAGGGAGGGGGCAGAAGGGGTAGGAGGGGTGGGAGAAGGAACCCCTTGGCCTGTGAGTGGGGAGTTTTTGGGGCTGAATACTTTTCAAACGGGCAGTTTCCGGGACTCTGTGTTCGACCGAGACGAGATGCTGAAAGAGTTCAACATTGGATCAGCAAAGGGTCTGCAGGAGAGGGGGATTGCCACGAGTCCAGCAGAGGGCCTGCAGGAGTATCGAGCTGCCAAGGCTCTGAGTGCCAGCAGCACGGATGCTCCTGCATTTCCAACTCTCAAGGACCGCGTCGAGGAGTTTCTGAGAAGGTTCTCGCCTAAGCGGCAGGCGAAGGAGGGGCGTGGCGGGCCGCTGGCCCGAGCAATTACTGACTGGGTGCTGCGACTCAACCTGACAGCTGCAGAAGCAGAGACTAGCAGCAGCGGTGGCAGCAGCAGGAGCACTAGCGGGGAGAGAAGGGACATGAGCTGGGCGGCGCTGGCCCTGGGGGCGTATTCCCCGGGCAAGTTAAAGCCCATGCTGAGATCCCCTCAGGAGGTGGATGCGTTTGTGGAGTTCATGGCTGCCATGACCACCCTCACGCCCGCCTGCAACGCCTGCCAGATGTGCCTCAACGTGTTCAACCGCGCCGTCACCCCAGCGGCCCTTGTTGCCTCCTTCGCCTTTCGCCCCTCCTCGGTGCTCCTGCGCTGCATTCTCTCGCTGTATCCCCAGCGCTTCACTCCGGTGAGAGCTTCTCTAGGCAATTAGAGACGCCGCTTAGATCTTAAAAATCTGTGAATTGATTACACCTGATAAACCGTCTGATTATACAAGCCTCTGTCGGTGCTCCGATTGCATCCTCTCGCGCCCACGCTCTTCATCAGTGCTTCTGCTCTGCATCGTGTCATTGCAGGGTATTGTTGAGAATTGAAAGAAAGAAAGAAAGGGAGGAAAAAAAAAATAATAATTAAAAAAAAAAAACCTTTCTTTTCATGTTGTTTCGCTCTACCTCCTGCACCCCCTTCAAATGACAGTCCTCCTAGACCCTTCGATGTATTTACAGCAGCTTGGAATAGAATGCTCTTGTTGGTGCTCCCTCGCTGCATCCTCTCCTCTTACTCTACCGCCCATGCTCCCCTGAGATGACAGTCCTTTCCCAGACAGATAGAGGAAATGCCTTCTAGGTCCTGTGCGTGTTATCGCGACAAGTTATCACATAAGTATAATTCCCCTCCTCTGCATTTCAAACTTCTCTCTCGGCATATACCACACACACCCCTCTCAGATGAAAGAGCTGCTAGACACGCTCGGCATCCCCCCGCTGCCGGACCTGGTCCCGAACCGCCTCGTGGCTCCTCTTCTGGAAGGCGTGGTGGAGCACAAGCGCCTGCACTTCCTCTACACAGCAGCCATCCTTCTGTCTCGGGAAGGCGCCGTGAAATATATCATGGAGCAGAGTAGGGGAGACGGGGTGGCGAGGAGTGAAGAGGAGTTGAGACAGGTGGAGTGGAACTGGCTGGATGGGAAGGAGGAGTGGCTGATGTGGGAGGAGGTGGACGGCTGGCGAAACGCGGTGCTTAGATCGTGGCCTGTCACTGAGATGCTGGCTGAGGCGCCGCACAGCTGGGCGGCAACTGGGGAGGAGGAGAGGCCGAGGGAGTGCTGTGCGGGGATGAGGCGGAGGGAGAGGGAGTGGGAGGAGATTAGTCGGGGGAAGGAGTGGGCTTTGGTGGACAGGATGGTTGCTGCTGGTGCTGCTGGTTCTGCTGCTGCTGGGGGTGGGAGTGAGGTGGGAGGCGGGTTGAAAATCGCGCCTGCATACCTGGTGCCGTGGGTGGGGGGAGTGAACCCGTTTGCATGCCTGCGGGAGATGCTGCTGGGGGAGACGTGCTACTGGGAGCTCTCAGACGGGCGGCGGGTCGGGGTGACACCTGGGGCAGGCTCGTCTGCTGCTGCCCCTGCTGCGTCAGATTCAAGAGCACCCACAGGAGGAGCAGGAGGAGCAGGGGGGGTGCGCTGCTGTGCTTTCCCGGGGTGTGGCCGGGCGGAGAGGCCTGGGAGGCCGCCATTGAAGGGTTGCTCGCGGTGCAGCCAGGCTGCCTACTGCGACAGGGACTGTCAGAGAGCCCACTGGAAGGTGCATAAGCTGCAGTGCCATCCCAAGTGATCGCCAGGAGGCACTGCTGAAGGCTTTCTCGCGGTGCAACTACACGGCCTACTGTGACAGGGACTGCCTGGGAGCCCACTGGAAGGTGCACGAGCTGCAGTGCCAACCTAAGTGATAGCAGAGGGGAAAGGGAAGGGGAAGGGTTGGGAATAAGTGTGGATATTCAGAATTGCAAGCTGTCAGGTCTGCATGGCTGCCTACTGCGACAGGGACTGCCAGAAGGCCCACTTGGGGGGAGGGTGAAGGGGGGGAGAGAGGGTGTTTGGGGGGGGGGGGGGGGGGGGGGGGGGGGGTGTGGGGGGGGGTAGGAGAAGTTGATTTGGCAACAGTGACTGCTTGTTGCCACATTTTGGCTTGTAACAGAACTTCGTTGACCTTGCGAGTCAAATACCGTAATAAAAAAAAAAAAAAAACGGGACACGCAGTAGTGTCAGTGAATGTGAGGTAGTAATCAATGGATAGTTTGTGAAGAAATGGGATGGTCAAACGTGCAATTGTGTATGAGGTATACATTTGTGCACCAGAGTACACTCAATAGTCGAGCTTCAAGCCTTCGGTTGGGAGGAAGGTGAGTGATGAATATCGACGGTGGCTGAGTCGGTTCGGTGGCTGGCGGACTTTAGTGTCGTATCCCCCAGTCCCGTTCCAGTCGGTCCGGCGTGAGTGTCTGATCCCATCAGTTGGTGTGGGCCGTGAGCTGTGGTTCCTTTCACTTGCTCGTGACTCGGGATTTGTACAGATTACACGGGGCGCCGTCGTGATTTCTTCGCAAGCGTGGTCCCGCTAATTAGCGAATGCCCGTTCAGCGACGCGTTTCCTGGTGGCTGCGTATGCGTGAGGCGCACGTTACGCGAGGCCCTTGAGCATTCTGAGTGAATGTATTCTCGTATTTCAGCACGCACTTGACTCGAGTCACTTCAGCTACCTTCCGCGCATTATATTACAGCAGCAACCTCCAGGGCTTTTATTTTCCACTCATCCAAATCATTACTCAAGCTCTTAATTCACTAAAAGTCTCCGGCCAGGCGCCACATACGGGAACAACCTTTAGAGGTTTGCGTAGATGGAAGCAGACAGTATGAAGGGGGGGATGCTTTTCGAGCAGAGGAAGTTGGCATTGAGAAGGGAGCTGTTATTTCTGAGCATGGAACCTCATGAGAGCGTAATGGACTACGTACACCGGGGTAAGCTCTGTTACAGTGATTTGAAGGCCATGGGTGCTCAAGAAACAGAAAGAGATCTGATATACTGCATCATTTCTGGATTGTCGAAGGAGTGGGCGATTGAGCGTACTGTCCTTACTTGCATCCGGCCGACAAGTGTGACCGACTTGATTGGGAAATTGCGAGATTTAGAAACGATGAAAGCTGATTGCAAGAGAAGGGAAGAAGCGGCCCGACGTACGGATAACGGCAAGCCTGGGATGGAGAGTGCATCAGCTACAAGGGGGAACAGGCATGGACGCTGTTTTTATTGTGGGAAGAAAGGGCATAAAGCGGCACATTGCTTTGACAACCCTAACAGCGGCAACTTCAAGGGACAGACGACATGTATCCGAGAAAGAAGATTCAAGGATCCCACATTGCAGCTATTGTGGATATGACGGGCATTGGAAAATGGATTGCCCCTCTCCTAATGGCATTTCGTTTGACTGGAAGCACAAAGTTGCAATGTGACACCCGTAAATGAACACTGTAATACGGTCTGGATGTAAAACAGCATTTAAACATAGAGTATTACAGACAGTAAAAGTAAACGTCACCCCTACAAGGCGGTCGCCTTTCAGCCTTGCAAGTTAGGTAAACAACTTACTAGAGTACACTCTACAGTCCAGCTTCCAGCCTTCGTATAACAGCCATCAGCATCTCCTTTCTACTCAGCCTATACTTGACTGCAAGCAGTCGTTGCGGCGACAACACCTGGCCCCTGAACTTGCACTGCATCTCACCCTCCCTCTCAAACTCCCCTCCAACTCCACCACCATCACCCCCACCGTTGCTGCTGCTGCTGCTGCTCCCACCATCAGCACCAGTAATACCGCTGCGACCACTACTGCCACCGCCACCAGCGACAGCACTGCTGCTGCTGGCAGCACCACTGTGACCCACTCTTCTTGCTCCTGTCCCATCCACCCCTCCATCGCTTCCCAGAAGCTTCCCTCCCGCCCGATCCACATCCTGCAGCAGCCACCAATCATAGTGTGCCGGCGTGGCCATGCCAATCATCAGCTCGCGGCACCGCCTCACTATAAGCAGCTTCACATACTCCGCTGCAGCCACTGCAAATTCATCCTCTGCTGCCTTAGCTGCTCTTAATGCTGCTTTCGCTGCATCCCCACCGTCCGTTGACCCTGCAGATCTGCCTGCGGTCCCCCCTGATTGAATCTCCCCGTCATCCCCCAATTCATCATCCACCTCATTCCCTGTTGACTCGGTTGAATCCGTTGACCCTTTCCCCCCAACCCCATCACTCCGGCAAGCTATTCTCCATGCCTTGGTTCGGCAACATTTAGGCCAAAACAGGCCTCCTTTCCCCTCCCCCCCACCACCCACCCTCCCCCAACCGCCCCCACTCTTCCCATCGTTCCGCCACCCAGGCGGGCACCTCGGAAACGCACCAGCAGGCAGCGTCCGGTTCGGCGCCGAAGCTGCAAACCGAGCGGCCGCGGCAAGCGCGGCGAGCAGGCTTGGGTCGATCCTCCCGGCCGGACGAACATCCGGACCAGCCCGGTACGGCAGCACCTCATAACCGAACTCAACCCAGCTGTTCATCAGATCCCACCAGAGGTTCCTGTCCCGCTCAAACCCCCGAGAGGCATCGTGTGACGAGGGCCGATCGAGGGCTGCGCGGGCGTGTTTCCACGCCTGAGTGAAGGAGATGCGTGAGCAGGATGAGACAGCGGCAGAGGCGACGGCGGAGGAGGCAGCGGAGGAGGAGGCGCCGGCGATGGCTGCTACGGTCATGTGGCGCTGGAGGGAGTCGGAGCGACAGTCTGTGTAGAATCGGTCGAGCAGCCAGCGCACTGAGTCCTCGAACGATGGGAAGAGAGTGAGGCTGTCAAAGGGATTGCCCTCCAGAATGAAACCTGGAGGGTCAACGGGGGTCAATGGGGGTCAACGCAAGCCAATGGGAGTCGGAGTGGCAGTCTGTGTAGAATCAGTCGAGCAGCCAGCGCACTGAGTCCTCAAAGGAGGGAAAGAGAGCGAGGCTGTCAAAGGGATTGCCCTCCAGAATGAAGCCTGTTTGTGTGTGGTGGGGGGAAGGGGGTATGGTAGAATGAAGCCTAGAGGATCAATGGGGACAGTCTGTGTAGAATCGGTTGAGCAGCCAGCATTGAGTCCTCAAAAGAAGCGAAAAGAGCGAGGCAGTCAAAGGGATGCCTTCCAGAATGAAACCAGCAAACCCACTCACCGTAGCACAGGAAGACGTTCTCGTTGCTGCGGGGCCCAAAGGAGCTGCAGAGATGCTCGCCCTTCTTGCCAGGCCTATCCCCAAAACTCCATCAGGTGAAAAACCAGCAGGGGCTCAGTGGCAAGCCACCAGGCCCACTCACTCACCATAGTAGAGAAAGAGGTTCTCGTTGCTGCGTGGGCCAAAAGAGGTGAATAGCTGCTCGCCCTTCTTGGCGGCCCTTTTCAGCCGGATCTCCAACACCCCCTCGTCTGAGACAGGCCTTGCCATCCAGTCCATCTGAGAGGGAGTGAACGGGGGAAGGTTGAATGAAACGACTTTTGAGGCTTCTATGAAACGACTTCGGACGCCTCTCAAAAGTCGTTCTAGCGGGATCTCCAGCCCCCCTCAGATGAGACAGGCCTTGCCATCCAGTCCATCTGCAAAGGGAGTTAATGGGTGGAGGGTGGGGAGGTACGGGGTAGCTGCTATGTTTGGGGGGGCATACAGGGAAAGATTCGAATATTGGCTCTGTGCTGGTTCACAGGTGTGTCGTGCTGACTCACACGGGTGCTATGCTGACTCACGTCACAGGGGCTCTGTGCTGACTCAGGAGTGCTGTGCTGACTCACATGGGTGTGATGCTGACTCACGTGGTTGTTGTAATGATGGTTGATGGCATCCATGAACGGCATCATCACAAACTGCTCAAACTTGCCGCCCGGCCTGACTGGCAGCGTGAAGGCTCGGCTGTGCACGATCGAGACCGCCCACTCTGGGGAGAGGGGCAGGAAATGGAGAAAAATAGGAGGGGGGGGGGGGGGGGGGGGGGGGGGGGGGGGGGGGGGGGGGAAAAATGGAAGGGTATTGGCAGATTATTCACTGGCAGGGTGAAGGCTCGGCTGTGCATCATTGAAACCGCCCACTCTGGGAGAGAGGGAGGGAGGGGAGGGAGGGAAAGAGGAGGGGGAGGAGAGGGAAGAAGAGAAGAGCGAGAAGGTGAGGTTGTGGTAGATGTTTCAGTTCGTGGCAGGGTGGTGAAGGCTCAGCTGTGAACCATAGAGACCGCCCACTCTGGGAGAGGAGGGAGGGAGGTGGAGGGGGAAAGAGAAGTGATGCGTGGAGATGGCCCACGGACTGGAAACTGGGATGAGGGGCCCAGATAAAGTGTTTCGAGTGGACTGAAAAGATCAGTTTCCCATGCTAACCAGCTTGCAGTTGTTCCACCTGATAAACACCTGATAAGCACCTGATCCACAGGCTCACTAATTTCGCACTCACTGTACTCATCAAAGGAAAGGTTGGGATGCGTGGAATCGTGGTGCTTGTGGTATGTCTCTCGGATCTCTTCGTTTATCCTCTTCACCTGCTCCATGGTCGATGCCCACTGCACCTCGCCCTCCTCCTGCCACCATCACATGAAAACACACCATGGCGGAAAAACAGAGCGCACGGGGGGAAGAAGCACTGCGCAAGAGAGGTCGAGGTGACCATGGCTAATCTCCTCGTTCATCGCTCCTTTGCCGATGCCCACTGCACCCCTCCCTCTTTCTCCCACCATCACGAGACATAGCACAGCAGAACAGTGAAACCCTGAAACAGAACAGGTGGCTTGTTGGGTGGTCTCAACTTCTAGCAATCCAGCTGAACGTCGCAGCAAAGATGATTTTGGAGCACCTAAAAAACAGTGAAGTCCTGAAACAGAACAGGGCTTGTTGGCTGGTCTCAGCTTCAAGCCATCCAACTGAACGTGAAAACAAAGCACCTCATTACTAATGAAAAATTAGCTGACTCGGAGTGACCAATGGGGTGGCCAGGAGTAGGCCCGGGTTGTAACCTTCGAACGGGGCGGTAGACTTACCTCAGGAGGGAGGAAGATGGGCAGAGGAACAGAGGGAGGCAGGGAGCGGATGTAGGGCGCCCAGGGGGAGGCATCTCCCTTTGCTCTGCGGGGCGGAACAAAACAGTGAGACGCGTGGGAATGGGTGAACAGGTTGCAAGAAAGAGAGGCGGGGGGACAAAGAGACGTGTGGAGGCAGGGAGCGGATGTAGGGCGCCCAGGTCCCAGGAGGGGGCAACTCCCTTTGCTCTGCGGGGCGGTACAAAGGAGACGAGGAGGTTGGCAGGCGAGTGAGTGGGTGGGCAGGGAAGACACGTTGTAGGTCCAGCGACAAAGAGAGTATTTGGAACAACGGAGAATTTGGAATAGCTGCTTCTCCCTCATGCCCTGCCTCCTGTCACCCCTTCACCTCCAAACTTTCCCCATTCCCTAGCCCTCTCCCCACCCCCCTCCCACCACCATCGCCCCGAGAGAGAGGAAAGCACTCACTTCTCCTCAAGAATCCGCAGTGCGACCAGGTCCCACCCAATCTGCTTCCTCCCACCACCAATGCCGGCCTTAGCAGCAGCCCTCCCCTGCAGCACCCGCTGCCGCATCTCCCTCATCCTCTCCCTCATGCTCCCACCTCCCTTCGCCCCGCCCGCCCCACCCACTCCTGCCCCTCCTCCGCTTGTTCCCTCTGCACCTCCTTCCTGGCTGGTGCTGAACCAGAGGGCTAGAGACATCTGCAGGGAAGACATGAGTTGCCGACAAAACGGAGACGCATGGGATTCCAGGAAGAGTGACACTTGTAGACTGTGTCAGTCAATCATTAGTACTTTGCCCAGCATCGCACTCGTAACAATCGCTGGTACCATGCACCGCATTGCACCCATGTTACCCGCCAGTATCTCGTACCCAGCCACAGCCCTCACGCCACACGCTTTTTGAGCCGACTCAAAAATCGACTAGAAAATAATACTCGCTTGTACCCAGCCACAGCCTTCACACCACCAAACATACAATACACACCACAGGCAACAGGCGCACTATCCCTCCCACCCACTCTGTTTCATTTGCAACAAGCTACCATTCTCGACAGCAATCGACTATCACAAACACTCACAACGCTCATGATAACAGTAACTGGTATCTGTTTCTGAGGCGCCTCAAAACTTTTCTTTCACAAACACTCATAACGCTCATGATAGTACCCACCGGTATCTTGCACTCACCGCTCATATTAGTAACCCTCACTTCTCCCAACCCTAAATGCCTACTGTCACACAATTATGTTAACACTCACCGGTATCTTGCACTCACCGCTCATATTAATAACCCTCACTCCCAACCCTAAATGACTGCTGTCAAAGTCGTGTTAACTCTCACCGGTATCTTGCACAGCGTGTCTCCTGCTTCCATATCCACCTCGGCCACCAGCCCTCGGATCAGCCACCTCTTCTGTTGGCCCATAACAACTGCCTATCGTACCCCCCATAACCTGCATCATCACACTCACCGGTATCTTGCACAGCGTGTCTCCTGCTTCCATATCCGCCTCCGCCACCAGCCCTCGCACCAGACGCACCACCCCACTCCCTCCACTCTGCCCTTTTGCCCCCTTGCCCCCCTTCTTACTTCCACCCTTGCCACCACCACCGCTGCTGCTGCTGCTGCCAGTGGTTTTCATCTTTGTAGCGGGGCTGTCTGTAGCGGATTCGAGAGGCTCCGGTGGGATGTCTGGTGTGAGCTTGATTCGTGCCTTTGGGGAAAGGTACAGCCCGTGGGATGCTGCCCATGCTAGGAACTGGGTATGCGGGAGGAAGGCAATGGGAAAGGAGGAGGTGGGGTGGGATGTTAGGGGTGAGTTTGTTCCGTGCTTTAGGGGAGAGGTACAGCCCGTGAGATGCTGCCCATGCTAGGAACTGGGCAGTCGGGGGGGAAGGCAGGGGGGAACAGGGAGGTGGGATGTCTGGTGTGAAGTGGTGTGGATGCGTTCGGAACAGACGGGGGAGGGTTCCTGAAACAGCAGAGGTGGGGTAGAGAAGAGAGTGTTGTGCTTTGGGACGGTGGCCATGCTTGGAGCTGGTTATTCCTACCAACAACGTGGCATCAGAGTGGTGGAAAATAAAAGGAGATATGCCTGGAAAAGAAGTGAGAGGATAGAACGAACCATGTCTGAATGAAACAAAACTATTTTAACAGATAACGTGGCCACGTGACCCCAGGGTGAGCATGTGCTGTGTTCTCACCCTGTGGTTGGTTGGGCCACAGCACTTGTTGGCATCTCACCTTATCATTGGTCTCTTTTGAAAACGGCGATGGCTCAGAGGCGTGAAAGGGGAGAATGGAGGGGGTGGGGAAGGAGCACTCCACGCCTTCCTGCGGTACACGCAGCGCGGAGGTAAACAGCATAAAAATGCAGGTCGGTGCATGCGCATTAAATTTCAACCCACGTCTTGCTGCGATACGCGCAAGGTGAACATGAATTTCGCAGCGAAAGCCCTCTGAAAGCGCCAAACGAGTGTCTTTTGAGTCAACTTACAACACACCTTCAATTTCTCGACAGTCAAAAGCTAATACCTTCGCAAGAAGAGCAAGAGATTCATAGGTATGATGAACTGGCAAGCAGCTTGAATTCGAGTGACGATGTAGAGTAGAGTTTAGATGTACGACAAACCACTGTGTTTCGCGCAAACTCAAAGCATTTCATTTCGGATTTTACATAAAGACAAGCGAGTGCTCTCAAGAGCAGCAGGAGATTCATAGGTAGAGTGAACTGACATGCAGCTTGAACTGCGTGAAGAGGTAGAGTCCATGGACGGCAAACAGCGACACGATAGCGATCAGGATCGTGCGACGTCGCCTGTGCAGCAGCGATAACCACGACGCCTTTCGACGCCTGCGAGGCGACAGATGAACGTCGTGAAAAGTCCCCATGACCGACTGCCCTTACTGTCGAGCACTCTACAATGACAGCTGATTGGAACAGCCGAGCAAGTCCGAGTAGCAATAGCAATGGGACTGTTTCATTTGCTCATTGGATCTTGCCGGTACGACCGTCGGATGTAGCATGAAACCGTCGTCGGAATTCAGCGATATTTATTGAAACATATTGTTCTCCTGAACCTCAGTCGCGTAGTTGGTTCTGCCTAAGTTATGGCGAAGAGAGAGCGATTCTCGGATTTACCATGGATTGTAGGAAAGGACCTCGATATTATCGCGATTCGTGGAAGGGAAACAGATGTACTCGGAGAGGATCACTCTACAGTTGCACCAGGCTTTATGATATCAGGTGCAACACTACAATCTTCTTTACTAAATTAATGGTTTGCAAAATAGCATAATTGAAAAGGAATAACCTGCCTGTTGAGTTTATTGCATGTAGATTCCGAGGCAGAAACAATTGCAGGAATGGATGAATGCCTCATACAATCCTTGTAGCAGTACATGAAACGTACACTGTTTACAATAGGCACCAGTGACACAACACTGTTTTTAGCAAACGCCATCCGGCTTGTACCACTATTTTCATTTTGATGTGCCTAACAAGTGTCCTCCATTTTCTTCCTTTCCCCTTCCCCTTCCCCTTTTCTCCATTTTCCTTTCCCCGCCCCCCACTTCCCCCTCCCCTCTCCCCCTTCCCTGTCCCTTGGGCTGGCACTGCAGCTTATGCACCTTCCAGTAGTGGGCCCTCTGGCAGTCCCTGTCGCATTAAGCAGCCTGACCCCTCACATTTCTGACTTGCCACACTTATCCCCAACCCTTGCTCGTCCTCTTCCCCGCTCTTAGGTTGGCACTGCAGCTTGTGCACCTTCCAGTGGGCCGTCTGGCAGTCCCTGTCACAGTAGGCAGCCTGGCCGCACCGCGCGCAAGCCTTCAATGGCGGCCACCCCGGCCCTTCCGCCCTGCCACACTCGGGGAAGGCACAGCAACGCACCCCCCCTGCTGCCACTGCTCCGTCTCCTGCTCCTCCTACCACAGCTGCCGCTGCTGGTGCTCCTGTGTCTGAAGCAGCAAGGGAAGCAGCAGAAGAGCCTGCACCAGGTGCCGCCCCGACTCGCCGCCCATCTGAGAGCTCCCAGTAGCACGTCTCCCCCAGCAGCATCTCCCGCAGGCATGCAAACGGGTTCACTCCCCCCACCCACGGCACCAGGTATGCAGGCGCGATTTTCAACCCTCCTACCACCTCACTCCCACTCCCAGCAGCGGCAGTAGCAGCAGCAGCAGCGGGACCAGCAGCAGCAGCAGCGGGACCAACAGCAGCAGTACCTGAATCAACAGTACCAGCAGCAGAAGCGCCAGCAGGACCAGCAGCAGCAGCAGCAGTAAGCATTCTATCCACCAAAGCCCACTCCTTCCCCCGAATAATCTCCTCACACTCCCTCTCCCTCTGTCTCATTCCTCCACAACAATCCCTCACCCTCTCCTCCTCCCCAGTTGCCGCCCAGCTATGCGGCGCCTCATACATCTCGGTAACAGGCCACGCTCTAAGAACCGCGTTACTCCAGCTATCCACCTCCTCCCACATCAGCCACTCCTCGCCCCCATCCCACCCGTTCAACTCCACCTCTCTCAACTCCTCTTCGCTCCTCGCCATCCCATCTGCTCTGTCCAACTCCATGATATCCTGAACAACGCCTTCCTGAGAAAGCAGCATGGCTGCTGTGTAGAGGAAGTGCAGGCGCTTGTGCTCCACCACGCCTTCGAGGAGTGGAGCCACGAGGCGGTTTGGGATCAGGTCTGGCAGAGGGGGAATCCCGAGCGTGGCTAGGAGCTCTTTCATCTGGGTGGATTGCGGGTGGTTGAGGGGGAGGGAGAGAGAGGGGAGAAGGACAGTGGAGACAGACAGAGGGGCATCACACCCTTCACGCAATCTTCCCAAGGTAGCAACACATGCTGCTGACTTTTGAATCGACTCAAAAGTCAAAACGCCACCTTCCCAAGGTAGCAACACTAGGCACATGCTGCTGTGTGGGCAAGTTTTGAGTCGACTCAAAACTCGGCACATGCTGCTGTGTGGGCAAGTGCAGGCACTTGTGCTCCAGCAACCGCAAGCCAGTTCGGGACCAGGTCTGGCAGGGGAGGGAATCCGAGCGTGCCTTGGAACTCTTTCATCTGAGGGAGGTGCGGGTGGTAGCGGGGGAGAGAGGAAAACTCTCACCTGAGTGAAGCGCAGGGAGTAAAGCGAGATGATTCAGCAGAAGCACCGATGAGGGGCGTTCTATCGAACTGAATGGGTTGCAAGTTGCTTTACAAACATCTCAGGGCACGGGAGAACTCTCACCTGAGTGAAGCGCTGGGGATATAGCGAGAGGATGCAGCGGAGGAGCACCGAGGAGGGGCGAAAGGCGAAGGAGGCAACAAGGGCGGCGGGGGTAACCGATCAGTTGAACACAGAAAGGCACTCCTTGCAGCTGTTGCAGGCGGGCGTGAGGGTGGTCATGGCCGCCATGAACTCCAGAAACGCGTCTACCTCCTGGGCGGATCTCAGCATGGGCTTTAACTTGCCCGGGGAATACGCCCCCAGGGCCAGCGCCGCCCAGCTCATGTCCCTTCTCCCTCCCTTCGCCCTCCTGCTAGCGCTGCTGCTGCTGCTGCTGCTGGTGTTTGTTGTCTCTGCCCCCACCAGGTTGAGTCGCAGCACCCAGTCGGTGATCGCTCGTGCCAGCGGCCCGCCGCGCCCCTCATTTTCCTGCCGCTTCGGCGAGAACCTTCTCAGAAACGCCTCGACGCGGTCCGCAAGGGTTGGGAACGCGGGAGTGTGCATGCTGCTGTCACTTAGCGCCTTGGCTGCTCGATACTCCTGCACGCCCTCCACTGGGCTCGTGGCATTCCCCCTCTCTTCAAGACCCTTGGCTGATCCAATGTTGAATTCTTTCAGCATCTCTTCTCGGTCGAACACCGAGTCCCGGAAACTGCCTGTCTGGAAGGTATTTACCCCCAAGAACTCCCCACTCACAGGCCAAGGGGTTCCTTCTCCCACCCCTCCTACCCCTTGTGCCTCCTCCCTGCCTCCCAGAGCACAGCCACTGCCATGCGCCTTCAGGCCCTCTCTATCCCCCACTGGAAACTCCTCCCACCCCGAAACCCCTCCTGCCACACCAAACTCCTGCAGTGAAGAACCCTCCGAGCCTGCTACCCCCAGAGGCCTGGGGATGGCTCCGAACCTGATCAGCAGGCTCGGGAGGTCGTGCACCGGGTGCGGCAGAGCCAGGGCTGGGGCTTCCGGTTGGTTATGAGTGCAGTAGCTGGGGGGGTTGAGCCTGGGGCCATGCACTCGCACCCATTGGAGGAGGCAGGCAGCTCGGTGCGTGAAGAGTGCCACTGCTGGGTCACTTATGACTGGCACGAGGCGTGCAGCACGGCTGCTTGCCGTACTATTGGCAGCAGCAGCAGGAGTAGGTGGAGCAGGGGAAGGGGAAGAAACTACGGCTGCTACTGCTGCTGCTACTCCTCCTGCTGCTGGCTTCTCTGCTTCTTGATCCTCCACTTTTATGTCAGTGTTGACTGCGTCTCCCCCCTCCGCCACACTCCCCCGTCCAGACTCCGCAGCCCCCTCTGCAGCCCTCTCTGCCGGCCTCTCTGCAGCCCTCTCTGCAGCCCTCTCTGCCGGCCTCTCTGCAGCCCTCTCTGCAGCCCTCTCTGCCGGCCTCTCTGCAGCCCTCTCTGCAGCCCTCTCTGCCGGCCTCTCTGCAGCCCTCTCTGCAGCCCTCTCTGCCAGCCTCTCTGCAGCCCTCTCTGCAGCCCTCTCTGCAGCCCTCTCTGCAGCCCTCTCTGCAGCCCTCTCTGCCGGCCTCTCTGCATCCCTCTCTGCTGCCCTCTCTGCCGCCCTCTCTGCAGCCCTCTCTGCAGCCCTCTCTGCAGCCCTCTCTGCAGCCCTCTCTGCAGCCCTCTCCGCAGCCCTCTCTGCCGGCCTCTCTGCAGCCCTCTCTGCAGCCCTCTCTGCAGCCCTCTCTGCAGCCCTCTCTGCAGCCCTCTCTGCAGCCCTCTTTGCAGCCCTCTCTGCAGCCCTCTCTGCAGCCCTCTCTGCAGCCCTCTCTGCCAGCTGCTGCCTGGCTGCCTCCACAGCAGCGTCCTCTACGCGTTCCTTGTACCTGTTACTGCACGCCCCAGTAAACGCCTGAACGCCATAGAAGGCAGCGTGCGGTATGCAGAGCGTGAATGCAGCCCGGAGAGCAAAGTCAGTCGGGTCCAGGCCAGTTACGACCATGCCACCAGCACCAATATCAGCAGCAGTACCAGCACCAGCACCAGCAGCACCAGCAGCGCCAGCAGCACCAGCAGCACCAGCACCAGCACCAGCAGCAGCAGTGCCACTGCCAAGATGCCTGCTGCTCCCATCCCCACTCCCCCCTGCGCCCTCGTGTTCTCCTCCGCACTGCCTGCAGCTGCAGCTGTATTTCTCAGCCTCCAGCCCTCCATGGGAGATAATCTCCCCCACACGCTCCACATACTCATCCCACTCCACCCCTCTCAACCCCTCCCTCCACTCCTCTCCCCCTTCCACCCAACCAAACCCTCCTCCTACTCCAGCTCCTCTCCCCACCCCCCCTCTCATACCCCCGTGTGCCCGTCTTCCCCCAGGCAGCAGAGGCAGCACATGAGCAGAAACCCCGACTCCAGCTCCTTCTTTCCTTTCACTCCGAGCACCTGCACCAGAATCGATCCAAAGCAATCCTCCTCCACTTCCCCACCCACCTGCCTCCCTCCCCATTTCCCCGCCTGCCTACTCGCCTGCCGTTCCGCCTGCCTGTCCCCCACCCCCACGATTTGCCTCCTTGCGTTAAGATGAGTCGCCAGGGCAGGGAAGACGACGTGGCAGGACCTCATGTGCAGGCGCCAGAGTGTGACTATACGGGGCAGCCTCGCTATAAGCACGAGGAAGACCACAACGGAGAGGCAGCGGCGGTAGGCGGTCCAACACGCGCTGCACTGCCAGCAGCACCACCGCCAGGGCTTGGGGGCACCACCACCGGCTGTAGCACCACCCCGGCTGTAGCACCACCACTGGCTGTAGCACCACCACTGGCTGTAGCACCATCACTAGCTGTAGCACCACCACTGGCTGTAGCACCACCACTGGCTGTAGCACCACCACTGGCTTTAGCACCACCACTGGCTGTAGCACCACCACTGGCTGTAGCACCACCACTGGCTGTAGCACCACCACCGGCTGTAGCACCACCACCGGCTGTAGCACCACCACCGGCTGTAGCACCACCACCGGCTGTAGCAGCAGCGGTTGTAACACCAGCGGTTGTAGCACCAGCGGTTGTAGCACCAGGGATTGTAGCAGCAGCGGTTGTAGCACCAGCGGCTGTAGCACCACCGGCTGATGCACTACCAGCTGTAGCACCACCGGCTGTAGCACCACCACTTGCTGCTGCCAGATCATTGATCCCAAACATAATTGCCAGCTGGCATCTGACCACGTCCAGGTCCAACAGCAGCCCGACATGTGGCTCTGCCATCCACTCGAGGAACATCCCCTCGGCAGCAGGCATGGGCACGAAATCCGCCTTCCACTTGTACTGCACGGCAGGCGGGCCAGTTGCTACCCAGAGACTCTGCACTTTAACGGTCGCGGAATACTCAAGGATAGCCAGGGACGGGCGGTTCTGGCTAGCAGGGAACGGCTTGATGCTCTCACTTACCGACTGCTGCAGGTGCAGGCGGAGGGCCTTGGGGGTGGCGGTGTGGTAGGTGGTGGGGGGGGCGGGGTGGAGGATGCGCGAGAGGCAGCAGGCGCAGAGGGAGTGGTTCCAGGGGAGGTTGACATCCACGTGGTGCACCATGTGCGGCCGGGAGATTGGTTCGTAGTCTAGCGGGCTCGTGATGCTGGCCCGGATGCGACGGCTGCTGCTGCTGCTGCTGCTGTGCCTGCTGTTGTTAGTGACGGTGTTGCTGCTACCCCCAGCGGTAACTGCCGAAACTGGCTTTGCTTTCTCCCCCGCTTTCCTCGATCTTACTGGGAGCACTTTGATCACTGTACCCCCTTTAAGCTTGGCCTTTTCCGCTGATGCTTCAGGCGATAGGTACACCACTTGACCAACAGCCATAAACCGAACAGCCTGCTTCTCTTCGTCTGACGGATCCTTTTGCTCACCAGACTTATCCACACCATCCTGCTGCTGACGTGTCTGCTGACTTGGCAGGCAGCAGTGCGGCAGGTGGGAATGGAACAGCCTGTTGAACGCTGATTGGAGCGGCTCCTGCGGACTAACGGATATGGAATAATCCACGTGGGTCGCCGGTGCTGATTTGGTAGTATCGCTATTGTTGCTGGTGGTGGTAATGCTGCTAGAATTGCTGCCGCTGGTCAGCGAAATGGCGTCGCCATTGCTATCGTTCGTGATTTTAAGCAGTGTAGCCGGCACCCTGAATCGGACTGTGAATTCCATGATGCGAGGCAATGCTCACACCATCACGTGGAGCTCGCGCGGTCACTTTTGAGTCGACTAAAAAACAAGCTCCATGATGAGAGGCAATTCTCTCATTATTAGGTAGAGCTTGTGTGGAAAGCAGGACATCAAGCCTTCCGTCTCCATCGACGCTGCTTTAGCCAGGCACAAAAAAGTCGCATTTGTTCGGACATACATAGATCCGGAGCGAGTAAGAACTGTGCAAAGGTCCGGTGCTGTTGTGTATAAATAAGGAGCGAGTGGTAATGCTAGCAAGCAGAGCTAGCAAGACTCGGAAGCAATGCTCTTCCTATGAATCGTCGTTGAGCCGGACAATGAATATCGCATTCCGGACGATTCTTGAGGCGCCTGAAAAACGCTCTTCCTGTCAATCGCCGTTGAGCCGGATATTGAACATCACATTCCGGACAAGCGTCAAGGCGGGTCCACAATGAAACGCGAAAAGAACAACCTGGTGGTTGGCTACAGAGGAAATGCAGCGACTTGCATTTACTGATGCTACACAGAATCAGGACGCAGGAACCGAAGTGCTCGAATTCAGGTGCTCGAATTCTGGAGGAAATGTGAGGTGAAACGAAGACTCCAATTTCAAACTGCTGTCCTGTGGAGGTGTTGATGAGAGCAGAATGGAGATCCCGATGGAAGGAGAGGTTGGCGGGAAAAGGATGAATTTGTCTGTGCAAGATGGCGGTTTCTCAAGGTTGGCTGGATGTTCATTGAAGATGCCGAGCTGCGTATGGAATTGCGTGAGAGACTTCTTCTTGAAGGCGAGAGAAGGGCAGAGGGGAATGCAGGAGGCAGCTATCTCGTACTCCTCATTAAATTATTCGTAATCTGGACTAATGTGATGTGAACCTCATTTACAAGATATCTCGCTATTTGTGTACTAGATTCTGTGTGTGGATAGAATTGAAAAACTTCACATTTATTCGTAGAGAAAAAGCTTGTAGAGGGAACACTTACCTGACTTCAGCAAGGTGCTGTTTGACGTGGCTGCCTCGTCAATGAGACCTCCATCGTAGTCGGCCGGCGGTCGCTTCCCGTCAAGATTACAGTCAGCGTTCATCCCCCTGGCTTTTTTCGCCACATGGTACACCTGATGCTCACACCCTGCACGCGAATTTGCGTGCACTAGGTTAAACCTTGCACCCGTGGTTTTTGTACCAGCCAGTTGCAACCACGTTATAAGCACGTCGAGCAAGCTGCAGTGATATTCACCAATACGAACCACAGAAACTGAAGTTTGACCGGAGAGACTGAAGTCAAAATGTTACATTTTCTTATGAGCCCTTATAAGCACCTGACGAATCCATATTTGCTAGCTGCGAACTGGCGAAATTTTTTAAATCATTTACAAGCCCTCTTCACAAGGCAACCTCGGGTTAGTCAAACGAGCATCATGTGTATCTGCTGATTTCCGTGTCAGCAATGACTGCAAGTACGTGCCGCGTGACCCAGCTCCCACCTGGTCGGGGGAGGCGCTTCGCACGGACTCATTATAGCCGTCGACGTACAAGAAATAGTTTCTAAGAACAGAACACTGCCTTCCAGACAAAACACACAAATTAATCTGTCCTGAATTTTATCGCTTCATTCATCACCACCCTCTCCCACTTCACAATCACGCATTTCTCGCTGCCTCAATTTCTCCCCTCCACCACCATTTCATGCTGGACAGCGCTTCAGCCTGCGAGTTACTTGTGCCTGTCATGGCGGCGAAGATTATATCTTCCATTGAGCCTCTTCAGCCTTCTTGTTTTACTAGTGTCTGCTCCCTCTTTCTCCGCCGAGTGACGCATGCAATCGGCGTCTCGTCCATAGCTCTATTAGCGCACCGTGTTTTCATCAAGCACCGAAGTCCGCAGTCCGGTATTCCGTACTTCCGAGAGATTCCGTGTATTTTTCCCGTGGTATTCCGTAGTTCCGTGATACACTAAAGATTCGTACATTCGAGAGTCGTGAATACGTGGACTCGTTGAATAGTACAGTAAATTTTCTGACGCAGCCCTGGCTCGTCCGTCCGGTGCGCATCTGCGGGCGGCCGCGCTTCTCGCGTCGTCCTGCCTCGCTGCCTCGCACCCCCTCGTCGCCTTCCGCTCTGGTATCGCCGGCGCTACTATGGTGCCTGCGTGGACAGGTACTAGCAACTTGCGAAGTAGCTATGGAAGTAGTGTCAATCTGAGGCGCCTTATAACATATCGTCAGCGTTATTCTAGTGCCTTAAATTTGCGCGGATAGGTACTAGCATAATCGCTGTTGACTTTCTGGCGATTAGGCATCTTCACTTGATTTTGCTGAATTACATCCACAAGTTTAAATGATGTTTCCTCTTGGATAGAGCTGCACGGAGCTGCTTTAGTAGTAAAGAAAAAATCTATCGCTATCTCGCTCTCGCTTGATACGTCTCATAAACAGAAGATTATCTCGTGATTTCTATTCCTGATTGATAGAGCTGCTTGCAGAGCTGCTTCTAGTACTAGAAAGACTCGGGTTTCGAAGCACTTTGAAACAACGAAGGAAGCAGAGTCGGCAGTGATCTTGCCGATGCATTTCCACGTCCACAAACGTCGAAGCATCATGTAGCCTGTTTCAAGAATCACGAATTTCCATTTTCCCCGCCCGCGCATGACATTTGCAGTCCCAAGTGGCCGTGTTATCGCCTGCGAAATTGCACATCGCTTCCGCGACACTACCATTGTCACACATTGTTCCCGCGGCATCACCACCGTCGCACACGTCGCCGCCGAAGCCTCTGGAGCTCCTCGAGAAACAAGCATCTCCCCTCCTCCGTCGCACAAATTTTCGCCCGAGCAGCAGCATATCGCCAGCGTTTCGCAATCCCCGGTTCCACCGTCTCTGGTTACTCCTGCGAATACGCTCGCGAACAGCAGCAGCAGCAGCGTCGCGACGTCGTCGCTCGTGGCGGGCGCTCTGGGCTCCGCCGCTTATCTCGCGCTTCGGAACGCCTTATCACCGTCAACAATCCGGCCAGTCATGGTTCCGCTGGACCCTCCCAGCGGAATCGTGCCGCGCGCTACCAGTGTAAGCAAACAGCTTCTTCTTACTGTTATTATCCGTCTCCTGGGCTGTGCAGGAGTTTTATTATTTCGGCTAGATTCTTCCCAACTTCTTGCTCCCCGCTTCCCTCTCTCCCCGTTCCCACTCTCCCACTTCCGACTACCATACCTCCCTTCCCCTCAAACCTTTGCAGGCGGCACCAGCAGCTCTGGCAACAATGGCGGCCACCTTCCCCCGGGCCGTGCAGGAGGAGGCGTTTCTGAGGGCGGTGGCAACTGAGCTGAGCAAGCTGGGTTTTAAGAGGTGGGGCGTTGAGCATTGTTAGCTTTAAGAGGTGTATGGAGGCGCTGAGAAGTCTGGGCTTCAAGAGGTGAGTTGCCAAGAAAAGCTAAATTAATTAACTTTGCAGTTCCCTTTTCTCTGTCCTGCCTTTGTCACGCTTCTCTCTCCCACACCCAGGACCACTAGCATCGCACTGGTTAACTCTTTATCCTTTTATCCCCTTTATCACGCTTCTTCTACCACTTTATCCCTCCACCTCCCTTCCCTCCATCTCTCCCTCCCTCGTCCTCTCGCCTCCGCCTCTCCCTCTCTCAGCTCAAAACCAACAGCTGTGCTCTGGTCAACACATGTCGCGACAAGGTGTGCTTTGAGTAATAAACTCACCTCCTCCTGACCCTCCTCTCTCACCTCTCCCCCTCCTCCAAGACCAACAGCATTGCGCTGGGCGAGCACATGTCGAGACGAGGCATGCCTTGAGCCAGAAACGCGCCGCGCCGCAGCCGCCCCCGCGGCCACGGCGGCCCACGCCCACGGCGGCGCACGCCCACCGCGGGCCCACGCCCACCGCGGGCCCACGCCCACCGCGGGCCCACGCCCACCGCGGGCCCACGCCCACCGCGGGCCCACGCCCACCGCGGGCCCACGCCCACCGCGGGCCCACGCCCACCGCGGGCCCACGCCCACCGCGGGCCCACGCCCACCGCGGGCCCACGCCCACCGCGGGCCCACGCCCACCGCGGGCCCACGCCCACCGCGGGCCCACGCCCACCGCGGGCCCACGCCCACCGCGGGCCCACGCCCACCGCGGGCCCACGCCCACCGCGGGCCCACGCCCACCGCGGGCCCACGCCCACCGCGGGCCCACGCCCACCGCGGGCCCACGCCCACCGCGGGCCCACGCCCACCGCGGGCCCACGCCCACCGCGGGCCCACGCCCACCGCGGGCCCACGCCCACCGCGGGCCCACGCCCACCGCGGGCCCACGCCCACCGCGGGCCCACGCCCACCGCGGGCCCACGCCCACCGCGGGCCCACGCCCACCGCGGGCCCACGCCCACCGCGGGCCCACGCCCACCGCGGGCCCACGCCCACCGCGGGCCCACGCCCACCGCGGGCCCACGCCCACCGCGGGCCCACGCCCACCGCGGGCCCACGCCCACCGCGGGCCCACGCCCACCGCGGGCCCACGCCCACCGCGGGCCCACGCCCACCGCGGGCCCACGCCCACCGCGGGCCCACGCCCACCGCGGGCCCACGCCCACCGCGGGCCCACGCCCACCGCGGGCCCACGCCCACCGCGGGCCCACGCCCACCGCGGGCCCACGCCCACCGCGGGCCCACGCCCACCGCGGGCCCACGCCCACCGCGGGCCCACGCCCACCGCGGGCCCACGCCCACCGCGGGCCCACGCCCACCGCGGGCCCACGCCCACCGCGGGCCCACGCCCACCGCGGGCCCACGCCCACCGCGGGCCCACGCCCACCGCGGGCCCACGCCCACCGCGGGCCCACGCCCACCGCGGGCCCACGCCCACCGCGGGCCCACGCCCACCGCGGGCCCACGCCCACCGCGGGCCCACGCCCACCGCGGGCCCACGCCCACCGCGGGCCCACGCCCACCGCGGGCCCACGCCCACCGCGGGCCCACGCCCACCGCGGGCCCACGCCCACCGCGGGCCCACGCCCACCGCGGGCCCACGCCCACCGCGGGCCCACGCCCACCGCGGGCCCACGCCCACCGCGGGCCCACGCCCACCGCGGGCCCACGCCCACCGCGGGCCCACGCCCACCGCGGGCCCACGCCCACCGCGGGCCCACGCCCACCGCGGGCCCACGCCCACCGCGGGCCCACGCCCACCGCGGGCCCACGCCCACCGCGGGCCCACGCCCACCGCGGGCCCACGCCCACCGCGGGCCCACGCCCACCGCGGGCCCACGCCCACCGCGGGCCCACGCCCACCGCGGGCCCACGCCCACCGCGGGCCCACGCCCACCGCGGGCCCACGCCCACCGCGGGCCCACGCCCACCGCGGGCCCACGCCCACCGCGGGCCCACGCCCACCGCGGGCCCACGCCCACCGCGGGCCCACGCCCACCGCGGGCCCACGCCCACCGCGGGCCCACGCCCACCGCGGGCCCACGCCCACCGCGGGCCCACGCCCACCGCGGGCCCACGCCCACCGCGGGCCCACGCCCACCGCGGGCCCACGCCCACCGCGGGCCCACGCCCACCGCGGGCCCACGCCCACCGCGGGCCCACGCCCACCGCGGGCCCACGCCCACCGCGGGCCCACGCCCACCGCGGGCCCACGCCCACCGCGGGCCCACGCCCACCGCGGGCCCACGCCCACCGCGGGCCCACGCCCACCGCGGGCCCACGCCCACCGCGGGCCCACGCCCACCGCGGGCCCACGCCCACCGCGGGCCCACGCCCACCGCGGGCCCACGCCCACCGCGGGCCCACGCCCACCGCGGGCCCACGCCCACCGCGGGCCCACGCCCACCGCGGGCCCACGCCCACCGCGGGCCCACGCCCACCGCGGGCCCACGCCCACCGCGGGCCCACGCCCACCGCGGGCCCACGCCCACCGCGGGCCCACGCCCACCGCGGGCCCACGCCCACCGCGGGCCCACGCCCACCGCGGGCCCACGCCCACCGCGGGCCCACGCCCACCGCGGGCCCACGCCCACCGCGGGCCCACGCCCACCGCGGGCCCACGCCCACCGCGGGCCCACGCCCACCGCGGGCCCACGCCCACCGCGGGCCCACGCCCACCGCGGGCCCACGCCCACCGCGGGCCCACGCCCACCGCGGGCCCACGCCCACCGCGGGCCCACGCCCACCGCGGGCCCACGCCCACCGCGGGCCCACGCCCACCGCGGGCCCACGCCCACCGCGGGCCCACGCCCACCGCGGGCCCACGCCCACCGCGGGCCCACGCCCACCGCGGGCCCACGCCCACCGCGGGCCCACGCCCACCGCGGGCCCACGCCCACCGCGGGCCCACGCCCACCGCGGGCCCACGCCCACCGCGGGCCCACGCCCACCGCGGGCCCACGCCCACCGCGGGCCCACGCCCACCGCGGGCCCACGCCCACCGCGGGCCCACGCCCACCGCGGGCCCACGCCCACCGCGGGCCCACGCCCACCGCGGGCCCACGCCCACCGCGGGCCCACGCCCACCGCGGGCCCACGCCCACCGCGGGCCCACGCCCACCGCGGGCCCACGCCCACCGCGGGCCCACGCCCACCGCGGGCCCACGCCCACCGCGGGCCCACGCCCACCGCGGGCCCACGCCCACCGCGGGCCCACGCCCACCGCGGGCCCACGCCCACCGCGGGCCCACGCCCACCGCGGGCCCACGCCCACCGCGGGCCCACGCCCACCGCGGGCCCACGCCCACCGCGGGCCCACGCCCACCGCGGGCCCACGCCCACCGCGGGCCCACGCCCACCGCGGGCCCACGCCCACCGCGGGCCCACGCCCACCGCGGGCCCACGCCCACCGCGGGCCCACGCCCACCGCGGCCCACGCCCACCGCGGGCCCACGCCCACCGCGGGCCCACGCCCACCGCGGGCCCACGCCCACCGCGGGCCCACGCCCACCGCGGGCCCACGCCCACCGCGGGCCCACGCCCACCGCGGGCCCACGCCCACCGCGGGCCCACGCCCACCGCGGGCCCACGCCCACCGCGGGCCCACGCCCACCGCGGGCCCACGCCCACCGCGGGCCCACGCCCACCGCGGGCCCACGCCCACCGCGGGCCCACGCCCACCGCGGGCCCACGCCCACCGCGGGCCCACGCCCACCGCGGGCCCACGCCCACCGCGGGCCCACGCCCACCGCGGGCCCACGCCCACCGCGGGCCCACGCCCACCGCGGGCCCACGCCCACCGCGGGCCCACGCCCACCGCGGGCCCACGCCCACCGCGGGCCCACGCCCACCGCGGGCCCACGCCCACCGCGGGCCCACGCCCACCGCGGGCCCACGCCCACCGCGGGCCCACGCCCACCGCGGGCCCACGCCCACCGCGGGCCCACGCCCACCGCGGGCCCACGCCCACCGCGGGCCCACGCCCACCGCGGGCCCACGCCCACCGCGGGCCCACGCCCACCGCGGGCCCACGCCCACCGCGGGCCCACGCCCACCGCGGGCCCACGCCCACCGCGGGCCCACGCCCACCGCGGGCCCACGCCCACCGCGGGCCCACGCCCACCGCGGGCCCACGCCCACCGCGGGCCCACGCCCACCGCGGGCCCACGCCCACCGCGGGCCCACGCCCACCGCGGGCCCACGCCCACCGCGGGCCCACGCCCACCGCGGGCCCACGCCCACCGCGGGCCCACGCCCACCGCGGGCCCACGCCCACCGCGGGCCCACGCCCACCGCGGGCCCACGCCCACCGCGGGCCCACGCCCACCGCGGGCCCACGCCCACCGCGGGCCCACGCCCACCGCGGGCCCACGCCCACCGCGGGCCCACGCCCACCGCGGGCCCACGCCCACCGCGGGCCCACGCCCACCGCGGGCCCACGCCCACCGCGGGCCCACGCCCACCGCGGGCCCACGCCCACCGCGGGCCCACGCCCACCGCGGGCCCACGCCCACCGCGGGCCCACGCCCACCGCGGGCCCACGCCCACCGCGGGCCCACGCCCACCGCGGGCCCACGCCCACCGCGGGCCCACGCCCACCGCGGGCCCACGCCCACCGCGGGCCCACGCCCACCGCGGGCCCACGCCCACCGCGGGCCCACGCCCACCGCGGGCCCACGCCCACCGCGGGCCCACGCCCACCGCGGGCCCACGCCCACCGCGGGCCCACGCCCACCGCGGGCCCACGCCCACCGCGGGCCCACGCCCACCGCGGGCCCACGCCCACCGCGGGCCCACGCCCACCGCGGGCCCACGCCCACCGCGGGCCCACGCCCACCGCGGGCCCACGCCCACCGCGGGCCCACGCCCACCGCGGGCCCACGCCCACCGCGGGCCCACGCCCACCGCGGGCCCACGCCCACCGCGGGCCCACGCCCACCGCGGGCCCACGCCCACCGCGGGCCCACGCCCACCGCGGGCCCACGCCCACCGCGGGCCCACGCCCACCGCGGGCCCACGCCCACCGCGGGCCCACGCCCACCGCGGGCCCACGCCCACCGCGGGCCCACGCCCACCGCGGGCCACGCCCACCGCGGGCCCACGCCCACCGCGGGCCCACGCCCACCGCGGGCCCACGCCCACCGCGGGCCCACGCCCACCGCGGGCCCACGCCCACCGCGGGCCCACGCCCACCGCGGGCCCACGCCCACCGCGGGCCCACGCCCACCGCGGGCCCACGCCCACCGCGGGCCCACGCCCACCGCGGGCCCACGCCCACCGCGGGCCCACGCCCACCGCGGGCCCACGCCCACCGCGGGCCCACGCCCACCGCGGGCCCACGCCCACCGCGGGCCCACGCCCACCGCGGGCCCACGCCCACCGCGGGCCCACGCCCACCGCGGGCCCACGCCCACCGCGGGCCCACGCCCACCGCGGGCCCACGCCCACCGCGGGCCCACGCCCACCGCGGGCCCACGCCCACCGCGGGCCCACGCCCACCGCGGGCCCACGCCCACCGCGGGCCCACGCCCACCGCGGGCCCACGCCCACCGCGGGCCCACGCCCACCGCGGGCCCACGCCCACCGCGGGCCCACGCCCACCGCGGGCCCACGCCCACCGCGGGCCCACGCCCACCGCGGGCCCACGCCCACCGCGGGCCCACGCCCACCGCGGGCCCACGCCCACCGCGGGCCCACGCCCACCGCGGCCCACGCCCACCGCGGGCCCACGCCCACCGCGGCCCACGCCCACCTCTGCCCACGCCCACCGCGGGCCCACGCCCACCGCGGGCCCACGCCCACCGCCCACGCCCACCGCTGGCCCACGCCCACCTCCCACTCCACCGCTTTCCCACGCCCACCGCTTTCCCACGCCCACCGCTTTCCCACGCCCACCTCGGGCCCACGCCCACCTCGGCCCACTCCCACCGCTTTCCCACTCCCACCTCCCACTCCCACCGCGGGCCCACTCCCACCTCCACTCCCACCGCGGCCCACGCCCACCTCCCACTCCCACCTTTTCCCACTCCCACCTCTTTCCCACTCCCACCTCTTTCCCACTCCCACCTCTTTCCCACTCCCACCTCTTTCCCACTCCCACCTCTTTCCCACTCCCACCTCTTTCCCACTCCCACCTCTTTCCCCACTCCCACCTCTTTCCCACTCCCACCTCTTTCCCACTCCCACCTCTTTCCCACTCCCACCTCTTTCCCACTCCCACCTCTTTCCCACTCCCACCTCTTTCCCACTCCCACCTCTTTCCCACTCCCACCTCTTTCCCACTCCCACCTCTTTCCCACTCCCACCTCTTTCCCACTCCCACCTCTTTCCCACTCCCACCTCTTTCCCACTCCCACCTCTTTCCCACTCCCACCTCTTTCCCACTCCCACCTCTTTCCCACTCCCACCTCTTTCCCACTCCCACCTCTTTCCCACTCCCACCTCTTTCCCACTCCCACCTCTTTCCCACTCCCACCTCTTTCCCACTCCCACCTCTTTCCCACTCCCACCTCTTTCCCACTCCCACCTCTTTCCCACCTCTTTCCCACTCCCACCTCTTTCCCACTCTCGCCTGTTCCCTCTCCCCCTCCTCCAGGACCAATAGCATCGCCTTGGTGAACACATGTCGAGACGAGGTGTGCCGTCCGGTGGTGAGCCTGATCGACCGGCAGTTCGGCCTCTCCTTCAACCTGTCAGGCCTGGGAGGGCTGGTGAATTGCGGCAAGACGGGCTTTAAGGCCGCCATGTCGCACTCTCCAGAGTTCAGGGAACCTGATGGAAGTCTGCGGGAGCGATGTGAGTGCTTTAAGAGACAAGTGGAGCGAGGAAAGGGGGTTGCTATAGAGTGAACGTGTTGGAAGGGAGGGCTGGTGAACTGCGGCAATGACGGGCTTTAAGGCAGCCATGTCGTTATTCTCTCACTAAACATGCTCTGGATCTTTCTCCTGCGCCCATCTTTCTCCTGCACACATCTTTCTCCTGCACACATCTTTCTCCTGCGCACATCTTTCTCCTGCGCACATCTTTCTTTTGAGACGTCTCAAAACTGGATCTTTCTCCTGCACACATCTTGCTTAGCCTTCCCTCACGTGTCCGTCCACGGCTCAGGTGTGACGTGAGCTTCTTCCTGCGGCCAGGCGAGCACCGACCCTCGAGAGCCGCCCTCTTCCCTTCCTTCCCCGCCCTTCTCTTCCTCCCGTGGCTTCCTTTCCTCCCGTGGCTTCCTTTCCTCCCGTGGCTTCCTTTCCTCCCATGGCTTCCTTTCCTCCTTGCAGATATCTTCTTCTGTGTCCATCGGCGAGTCACGCGAGGTGGGCTCGTTGCTGCGGCGAGGCAGGGGCTGGTTGTCGACATGACGGACATGTCGAGAGATGACGGACAAGACAGGCAGGAGCCTACACCTTCCTACATGCCCATCTTGTCTGCATTATTCCCTTTTTCCCCCTGATATCCCCCCCTGCCCCCCTTCAGATATCTTCTTCGCCTTCCCGCATGTATCCATCGGCGAGTCAGGAGAGGTGGGCTCGTTGCTGCGGCGAGGCAGGGGGCGGCCTTCAAGTGCGTGTGGCGCGCTGATCGCGATTCAAACCGATCTGAACGAGGCAAAGGGGACGACTGAGGATCCTTTTGACGAGGAATACGTGCTGCTCAAGAAGAAAGTTGCCATCAAGGTCCGTGTGCAGATGTTCCGGGTTCCTCAAAGGTTGAAATGGGTGACATGCAGTCGGAGTCAAAAAACGAGGCCGAGGGTACACAAGAGGACCCCTTTGATGAGGAGTATGTGCTGCTCAAGAAGAAAGTGGCTAGCAAGGTGCGTGTGATGTGCGGGGGGGGGGGAGGGAGATATGGTTACTGGGGTGTGTATGGGCCGGCTGTCAAGCGCGTGTGGAGCGCTGATTGCGATTCAAACAGACCTGAACGAGACCAAGAGGACAGAGGCAGATCCTTTTGACGAGGAGTACGTGCTGCTCAAGAAGAAAGTGGCCCGCAAGGTATGTGTGTTGTTTTTACAGTCCAGTGCGTGTGCGTCGTGTTGATTGCCAGTCAAACCAACTTGAACGAGGCCAAGGGAACGGAGAGGACCTCTTCCATTCCTTTCACTCATTCCAGTTCCTTTCTCCCTCTGTTTTCTTCCCCGCCCCTTTCAGGTGGCCAATGGTGACCCACCTTTGTCACTTGTACAGGTCACCCGGGCAGCACTAGCTGCTATTAACGAGGACCTGGAGAAGCTTATATCGCTTACAGTGGATCCTGCTACCGCTGACTATGCTGTCATTACAGGTGTCCAGATACACTCTGGAAATCAGGTACGTAACATCCATATAACACCCACATACACCATATGTAGTGGGTATATGCAATGCATGCATGCATGATCATATGCATAATGTTTATCACAGCTTCTACTTGTGGCTGTCTTAAAAATTGTTCATGTGCTGAACTCTTTGGTGTGTGCAGGTCACAGGGGAGCCGTTCCGGATTGAGCGCACATGCGATTACATCGCGCCTGATTTGATGTACGCTGTTGTGCGAGGAGAGCGATACGACCTTCAGTTGGAGGGAAACATGTCAAGCATTGCGGCAGAGGGTCTTGCTGCAAGTATCTGAATGTGTATATGTGCCCCTTGTACAGGAAAAAAAACATTTGTTGTTTGTTTGGTGTCATGTAAATAGTTTGTGTATGTATGCTGTAACTGTAGATATTTCTGATTCTTTTGCTCCACCATAGATATCGGGGAAAATATGTCAATGGTAACTTACATGGGGCACTGTAACGCGTACGGTAACGATTTCAACGCGTACGGTAACGATTTGGTAACTCGCTTAACGCGTTTGGTAACTCGCTTAACACGTTTGGTCACTCGCTTAACACATTTGGTAACTCTACACTAGCAGCCCATCACGCGAATGGTAACTACATGAAATTCCCGCCGAAATGAGCCTGAGCAAAATGCTATAGAAATTTTAGAAATTTACCATTTTTGTACGAGCTACATATATGTATAAAATGGCCCTGAAACTTTGTGGTCCGTGGTATTAGAACAAACGGGATCCTTCAAATTCGCGGCGAGACTTGTTCAAAAGGATAGTACTGTGCGTAAAAGCTTTCAAAATCTATAAATTCCTTTTGCTCAGGCTCATTTCGGCGGTAACTTCATGTAGTTACCATTCGCGTGATGGGCTGCTAGTGTAGAGTTACCAAACGTGTTAAGCGAGTGACCAAACATGTTAAGCGAGTTACCAAACGCGTTAAGCGAGTTACCAATTGCGTTGAAATCGTTACCGTACGCGTTACAGTGCCCCATGTAAGTTACCATTGACATATTTTCCCTAGATATCGGCTTTGTTCCGACGAGTCCTGTCTTGCGTACAGCGAATGTCGTGGTCGGTGAGTTGCATTGTAACATTTATCTGCTGCCTAAATGCCATCTCCTCGATAATCGCGAGAGATGCGAAAGTTCGCACGAGTCCGCAGACCAGATTGGTATGATGGTTGGTGGTAGTGTTTTTCTCCTCAGCCCTGGTCAGCCCGAGCCGCTAATTACGGCATGGTCCTAATTACGTCTGATGTCTCCTCCCGCATTATGCGCGTGTCCCGCTGATGTAGAGACTATTCAGTAAGCGTCGCCAGCACAAATTTATAAGAAGAATAAAATTCTGCTCCGCTATGACGCCGAATTGATAAATGAAACACTAGCGGGGATGACCACACCTCCTCTCCTGATCATTGTCCACCAGTTTCTCCACAACAACTAATCAAAGCAACGGACAGCTATGGGTTGGTTACCAAGTTACTCGTAACAGAGCAACGAAGGTGGCGGCTTCACTGGAATCAACATAACCACGTTCCCACTGTTCGTGCTCCTCCTCCTCCCCTATCCGCCGGTACCTAGCGCGATTGGCGGAGACGTGCTGTCCGTTCAGCTCGTTTAAATGGCGATAACGCGACGAGCCAAGCACGTCTCAAGACCCGCCAGCGCACTTCCTTCGAGTAGATTCAGGAGTATCCTTTTTCTCTTTTCCCTCCTCCTCCTACTCCTTTTGAGGCGCCTCAAAAGACCCGCCAGCGCACTTCCTTCGAGTAGATTCAGAAGCATCCTGTTCCTCTTATCCCTCCTCCTCCTACTCCTTCCATATTCGCGAGTAGCTCGCGCGGTTAACTCTTTTCAAATGGAGGTGTCGCGGCAGGCCAAGTGCGTGAGCAAGGAGATTCCCCTGTACGCGTTAGTAGCAGGCTCGTATCGAGTCGTGGGCGCGGAGGATGGAGATGCGGAGCCGCCTTTCAAAGTACACTTGCAGGTACAACTTGAGGGGTTTTGAGGGAATGGTGGATGATGGTGCAGGGGAGTGTGCTCTTTTCATCCTCCACCCCCCATTTCCTTCCCTCTGCATCCAAAGAGACCCCTTTCCTGCCCTTAGCCCAAGACAAGCACCTGCAAATGAACCGGTCCGTTTTTTAATGCTCCACTGTGGGGAGCAGCAGACAGAGCAGTTCATATTGTCCCCTGCCTCTTCCCCTGCCTCTTCTCCCCCTCCCCGGTTTCTCTTAACTTCCCGCTGACCTCTCTCCTGAGGAAAAGCAACTGCACTACGGGGAGCGTCAAACAGAGGGGCACTTTGAATTCAGAGCAACAGAAGCATGGGATCACACACTGTGCGTGTGGCTGTCTGACTTCCCCACTCTCCACCCTTGTCTTCCACTCAAATTTCCCCCCTTTCACACCGCAGCTCACCTCGCCCGAGGGGAAGCAGTTGCACTATGGGGAGCGGCAGACAGAGGGGCACTTTGGGTGGGCTTGCTACCTCTCCTCTCTTCCCACTTCCCACCCTTGTCTGCCATTCACCCCCTTTCTCCACCGCCCCCCCTCAGCTGACCTCCCCCGAGGGGAAGCAGCTGCACTATGGGGAGCGGCAGACAGAGGGGCACTTTGGATTCAGAGCAACGAAAGCAGGGGATCACACGTTGTGTGTGTGGCTGTCCAGGTGGGTTGGGGAGGTGGGCTGAGCTGCTAAAAAAATCTCAAGAATTGTTCATAACAGAGGAAGCAGGGGATCACACGTTGTGTGTGTGGCTGTCCAGGTGGGTTGGGGAGGTGGGCTGAGCTGCTAAAAAAATCTCAAGAATTGCTCATAACAGAGGAAGTGTTGGGTGCAAAACATATTTTGCACGTCAACCTGTCGCCTATTCGTCGAGCAAGGTGAAATTTGAAGGTATTGGATTTAAGGTAATTTGCATTGTGTGGAATGCGCATTTGTGTGCTGTTTATTTTGGCGTTTACGGCTTGCGATTCGCCTTAACGGTTCTTGAGTTATTTGCATTTTAGTGTGCGGTTGCATTCATGCGTTTTCATGATTGTTCGTGTGTGTTTCGTGTTGTTCCTGTCGTGTCATGAATGTGCGTGAAGTTCCGAGTGAACATGTGCTTTCATGGTCCTTCGCGGGCTGTTCATGACTGGTCGTATGGTGTTCGTGTTCGTTCATGAGCGGTCATGTACTTTCATGTTTGTTCGTGACTGTTTGTGTTTTCTATCATGAATTTTTGTGTAGGTTTATTTGAGTGTCGAGTGTTTGTGCTGTTTGACTGTTTTCGTGCTGGTCTAGGCTCGAGGCCATGAGCCCGAGCCCTGTGGTACAATCGTGTGTGTAGCGCCAAAGGTAAGCGTGTGCCAATCGAGGCACGCGCGGCCTGAGGCCGCAATTGAATTCCTCGCCACACGCGCGAGTGTGGCAGCGAGGTGGTGCGTGGGTAAAGCCAAGCGCGCGTGGGTCCAGGTTGGATTTCGTGGGGCCCTCGAGCTCTTTGTCTTCATCCGCCGAGAAGAAATTCGCCGCGGAGTGTTTCGCAACGTGCGCGATTTATATTCGAAGCTGGTGCGAAGTGAGCGAGAAGAAGTTCGACGAAATCATAATTTCGTCTCGTAACTGCTCAAATTGATCAAGTGTTTTCATGAGCTGTCACGTATGGTCATGAGCTGCCATGATCGCAAATGACCACGGGTGTTCATGGAATTTCATGGGCAAGTATGGACTGCGTAGTTGTGCGTGGGCGAGTATGTTCCTACAGGTTTCGCGTGGAGAAAGTTGGCATTTCGGAAGTGTGGATCTAGCTATTATTTCGGTGGGCTATCTGCTTTCGCTTTTGGTGGGCTAGTATAGATTTGTGCTTGCGTTTATTTGTGAACAATTTTTGTAATCCTTTCAGTGAATATTTTGCTCTATCGACGTATTGACGCGAGGAGCTATTCTGCACACGCACCTATCGATCGTCAACGCTGCGCAATTGAGCTTGGGAATGCTCTTAGTGCACACGACCGTTTTTACACTTAGAGAAATCCCTCTACAAACACGGACCCTTGGTTAGGGGCTGGCGTTGCCAGGCACCCGAGGACCCTTGGAGGTGACCCCGTGGGGACTATCTAGTGTGTATTAAAGGTGTGCTTAAGAGTTTCTAGATCCCAATAGTAGTCAACAGGAAGCAGGGGATCACACGTTGTGTGTTTGGCTGTCCAGGTGGGTTGGGGAGGTGGGCTGAGCTGCTAAAAAAATGTCAAGAATTGCTCATAACAGAGGAAGCAGGGGATCACACGTTGTGTGTGTGCCTGTCCAGGTGGGTTGGATTGGATGGTAGGCTGTTTTGAGCCGGCTAATCTCGTCTGTTTGTGTGGGGTTTTGTGCTCTTGTTACGTTTCGCTCCAATGTGTGCCATCCTGTGCCCACCGTTGCTGCTGCTCAGAGGGACTGAGAGGGATGTAGGAGCAGCAGTAGAGGGCGCGGGGGTGGGGGGGGGGGGGAGGGTGGTGGGAGGGGTGGGGATGGGGGGTGTACATTTCTCAAGCGCATGCTTGTGCGAGCATGCAATTCCACTGTTTTCAAGTCCTTTTTTTTTTTTTTTGGTTTGCTGGTCGGGCCAAAGTCCTTTTTTTTTTTTTTTTAGCTGGTCCCTGTTGATCACCAGCGCTTTTAAAAACTCGTGTGGTCCATTTGTGATCGCCAACCCTGATAAACATTGTGTGTTTGGTATGCGCACCACCACTGCTGCTTCTCAAAGGCACAGAGAGGGATGTGCGAGCAGCAGGGAGCGCGTGTGCGGGTCTTAGCAAGAGGAGGGCGAGGAGGAAGGAACATAGAGGGATGAGACATGCTTTGATTCAACGTGTGAATCTTTTGTTCTTGCTGATTTTTTCAGAGGGACTGGGAGGGATGTGCGAGCAGCAGGGAGCGAGTGTGTTGGTCACAGCTTGTTTCGACCCAAAGTTTCTACATTCCCTGTGTTTTTTTTTTCTCAGGGGCACGGAGAGGGACGTGCCAGCAGCAGGGAGCGCGCGTGCGGGGCGCAGCAAAGGGAGAGAGAAGAGGAAGGTGGACGTGGCATGGCGTGTGGGCAAGTCAAAACACGCCCACCTCTCAGAAGCACCCAGGAAGGAGCAGGTCGAGGTGAGGCGAGGTGAGGGCAGGGCAGAAGATGGGAGGGCAGAAGATGGGAGGCTCAGATGAAATGGAGAGATAGGGATTGTGGGTTACGGAGAGGGAAGGAGGATGTGGGCTGGCATGAGGGGAAGTCACAGGACGCTCATCTCTCACATGCACCCAGGATCGAGTAGGTCGAGGTGAGGTGAGGTGAGGTGAAGTGAGGTGAGGTGAGGTGAGGTGAGGTGAGGTGAGGTGAGGCAAGTCAAGGTGAGGCACGGAGGAAAGGGAAGGAGATTGGCTGCCTCTGTGGCGGCTGCTTTCACCATTAGAGGCGCCTCAACGTGGTTGACACAACCTTCTGCCCTTTCCTTCCTTCCTTACCCTTCCCCCCCCCCCCTCAGCCCCTCCACTTTCTGCTTTCAGACTATTGACTGGGAGCTCGAGTCCAGACACTGGAGGGCATGGCTGCCTGTGTGGCGGCTGGCGGCCGGTCTTGTCTCAACGTGGTTGAGACATCCTTCTGCCCTTCCCTTCCTTTCTTAACCCCCCTCCCCCCCCCTCCCCCCCCTCTTTCTGCTTTCAGACTTTTGACTCGGAGCTCGAAACTCTAGAGGGCATGGCTGCCTCTGTGGCGGACGAGCTTGAATTCTTCCACGAGAGGTGAGCGGCAACCTTCTCGTCACCCTGTTGGTGATACAAGAACCTTCTCGTCGCGTGTAATGAGTTGATTTTTTTGGTTGAGAATAAATCAACTCAACACCCAACCCTTTCAAAACCACCTCGGTGATATGTTTTGGGGAATGAATGATTGGAGTTGCCTCGCACTCCTGTGCCACAGGTGGCCACAGGGGTATGATGAGGTGAGTCCACCCTTTGAGGTGTGAGGTATGAGGTATGAGGTGTGAGGTGTGAGGTATGAGGTGTGAGGTGTGAGGTGTGAGGTGTGAGGTGTGAGGTGTGAGGTGTGAGGTGTGAGGTGTGAGGTGTGAGGCGCGAGGTGTGAGGTGTGAGGTGTGAGGTGTGAGGTGTGTGGTGTGAGGTGTGAGGTATGAGGTGTGAGGCGTGAGGTGTGAGGTGTGAGGTGTGAGGTGTGAGGTGTGAGGTGTGAGGTGTGAGGTATGAGGTGTGAGGCGTGAGGCGTGAGGTGTGAGGTGTGAGGTGTGAGGTGTGAGGTGTGAGGTGCGAGAGTTGCCTCATACCCCTGTGCTGTGCCTCACGCATCAGACAAGCTCAGCTCGAATTGTTCCATGAGAGGTGAGAGCCAATGGTCACCCTCTCACCCCTTCGCCTATAGTATGATGCGAGTTTGTCTGTTTGGTCTACATTCGAGCTGCAGCAAGTGGTCCTCCTCGCGATGCACTCGAGAGTTTCTCGACTCAGTCTTGCTTTGCTCCTCTGCTGCACCTTAACTACGTGATCGCCTGCTTCTTCCCCCCCATCTGTCATTGAATCGCAGGGAGTTGGAGCTGCAGCGAGTGGTCAACGCGACACACTTTAGAATAACGTGCATGAGTCTCGCTTCTCTCCTTGTCTGCGTATCCCTAACAGCCCTTCAGTTCCGGCACCTTAGATCCTTTTTCCAACACAAGAAACTCCTATAGCCAGCACTGCTCTTAGCCTTATGTGCTATTTTTTCAGGCGCACATATTACCGGCACTACTGCCTGATATTCTTTATGAAGCAGTTGCTGTCTAACAAGCTGTACATCAGTCAATCCCTATCTGGTGATAAACGATTTTTTGTGAGAAAGGTAATTGGATAAAATCATGGAGAAGGCTCATACTCAATGACATGTCAAGTCATTTTGTGTGCCATACTCAGTGACTAGGTATGATAAGGAATTGCCAAAAAGATCCACAATTTAAGGACCCAACATGTCCACTACTATAGTGTTTAAGAACTTCTGTAAGGAGGCAAAGAGGCAGGCTCATGACTTGGCCAAAAGGCACGCTTGGTGACATGGCATGGCAACTGGTGTGAAACGACGCCCCTCAAGAGCCAAGAGCCTCACCGCCTGATTCGCCTCCTTGTTTCACTCTTGTTCGCCTCCTCCATCTTCCAGTCCTTGATTCATCACCACAGCTCCACTGGCTGCTGGTTTTGCTCCTCCTTGCTTTCACTCATGACACCACTGGAGAAGGCATTACGGACACTCTCTTGCTCCCTTTTTCCACCTCTCCACTGCTCCCTTTTTCCACCTCTCCACTGACTGCTGCTTTTGTTCTACTCCTCCTCGTCTTCTTCACTTTTTCATCACAGGGAGCCCAAAGGTTAGTGCCGTATGTGGCAACCAGGAGGGCCTCTGCTCGGCCTGTGAACACAGAGGGCGGGAGCAGCAGAGACAGACAATGTTTCATATTGGCCTAAGGTTGGTGCCGTATGTGAATAGAAGGCTATCAAAAGGGCTTGGGCTCGGTTTGTGAATAGAGCGAGTGGGAGAGGGAAGGATGCGAGAGGAGAGAGGCAATGGGTGGGAGCAGCAGAGAGCCGCTTCCTGAGGCTGTCTATAAGTTTCAGCTGTCTATAAGTTTCAGCCGTATGAGGCAATGAGAAGTGCTTTTGCTCGGCCACGTGTAGAGAGGGTGTTTTTGAGACGTCTCAAAAACACTCTCTCTACACGAGGAGAGAGGCGTTGGGTGCAGCAGAGAGCCGCTTCCTGAGGCTGTCTGTAAGATTCAGCCGTATGAGGCACTATAAGTTGCCTGTAAGTTTCAGCTGTCTAAGTTTCAGCTGTATGAGGCAATGAGAAGCGCTTTTGCTCGGCCTGGGAGTGAGGAAGATGGGGGAGGGGGGAGAGTGTGAGAAAGACAAGAGGACTTTTGAGGCGCCTCAAAAGCCTGGGAGTGAGGAGGGTACGATGAGAGGGGAGAGAGGGTGAGAAAGGCGAAAGGAAACAGCAGACAAACGAATTTTGAGGGCACACAATGAAATCCTTTGATACATCTCAGAACTCGGCAAAGCACAAAAACAAAACAAAACAAAACAAAACAAAAGCAAGCGGTGGTTTGTGCTGTAATTGGCAATCAGAAGGGCTTCCGAACGGCCAGGGAATGCAGAGAATGAGAGCAAATGTTTAAACTGATGTTACAGGGCGGGTGGAAATGGCAGAGAATGCAAAGAAAGAAAGACATGCAGCCATGGAAGGAAGGAAGATTGGCCGTCTCACCATGGTCCTTTTTCACCATGGTTGCATTTGTTTTGAGACGTCTCACCATGGTCCTTTTTCCGTTTGAGCTGTGGTGCCAAGGAGGGAAAGAGCGCGAGGGCCAGCTGCCTGCTGTCCTCCTGTGAGAGGGAGAGACAAGAAGAGGGAGAGACAAGAAGAGGGAGAGACAAGAAGAGGGAGAGACAAGAAGAGGGAGAGACAAGAAGAGGGAGAGACAAGAAGAGGGAGAGACAAGAAGAGGGAGAGACAAGAAGAGGGAGAGACAAGAAGAGGGAGAGACAAGAAGAGGGAGAGACAAGAAGAGGGAGAGACAAGAAGAGGGAGAGACAAGAAGAGGGAGAGACAAGAAGAGGGAGAGACAAGAAGAGGGAGAGACAAGAAGAGGGAGAGACAAGAAGAGGGAGAGACAAGAAGAGGGAGAGACAAGAAGAGGGAGAGATAAGAAGAGGGAGAGACAAGAAGAGGGAGAGACAAGAAGAGGGAGAGACAAGAAGAGGGATAAGAGCAGTGACAGCGAGGATTTAAACAATGTACAGGCCTCCAAAGAAGCAAGCATGCAAGCAAACAAAGAGATAAAGTTGCTTGCACTGAAGCACAAAAGCACTGAAGCACAAAAGCACTGAAGCACAAAAGCACTGAAGCACAAAAGCACTGAAGCACAAAAGCACTGAAGCACAAAAGCACTGAAGCACAAAAGCACTGAAGCACAAAAGCACTGAAGCACAAAAGCACTGAAGCACAAAAGCACTGAAGCACAAAAGCACTGAAGCACAAAAGCACTGAAGCACAAAAGCACTGAAGCACAAAAGCACTGAAGCACAAAAGCACTGAAGCACAAAAGCACTGAAGCACAAAAGCACTGAAGCACAAAAGCACTGAAGCACAAAAGCACTGAAGCACAAAAGCACTGAAGCACAAAAGCACTGAAGCACAAAAGCACTGAAGCACAAAAGCACTGAAGCACAAAAGCACTGAAGCACAAAAGCACTGAAGCACAAAAGCACTGAAGCACAAAAGCACTGAAGCACAAAAGCACTGAAGCACAAAAGCACTGAAGCACAAAAGCACTGAAGCACAAAAGCACTGAAGCACAAAAGCACTGAAGCTGTGTAGAAGGTAAGGCAACTCGTATACTTGTGCTGTGCATGAGGCAGCCTGTGGGGCAGGAGCCTTGACAAGCGACCGACCGACCGACTTTTGAGTCGACTCAAAAGTCACAAAAGCACTGAAGCTATGTAGAAGGCAAGGCAACTCATATACTTGTGTTGTGCATGAGGCAGCCTTTGGGGCAGAAGCCTTGACAAGCGACCGACCTACCGACCGACTGACCTTGAAGGTGAAAGTGAGTGGTGCTTGCGTGCGAATGGCTGCCTTCCTGCGCACAGATGCCACTGCGGTGACCTATGAACGAACCCACTTGGTTGCTGGACGTGCGCACAGCAACTCACTGAGTGAGTGAGTGAGTGAGTGAGTGAGTGAGTGAGTGAGTGACCGACTGACCTTGGAGGTGAAAGTGAGTGGTGCTTGCGTGCGAATGGCTGCCTTCCTTCGCACCGACGGCACCTCGGTAGCCTATGAACGAACCCACTTGCTGGGAGCAGGTTGGGACGCGGCACACAGACACAGGCAGACTGACCTTGGAGGTGAAGGCGAGTGATGCTAGTGAGCGAATGGCAGCCTTCCATCGCACAGACGTCACCGCAGTGACCTCAAGCCCTCTTTCTGGGAGCAAGATGGGACACGCACACAGCGACTGACTGACTGACTTGGACAGACTGACTGGCCGAGTGAGTGACCGACCTTGGAGGTGAAGGCGAGTGATGCTTGTGAGCGAATGGCAGCCTTCCATCGCACAGACGTCACCGCGGTGACCTCAAGCCCTCTTTCTGGGAGCAAGATGGGACACGCACACAGCGACTGACTGACTGACTTAGACAGACTGACTGGCCGAGTGAGTGACCGACCTTGGAGGTGAAGGCGAGTGATGCTTGTGAGCGAATGGCAGCCTTCCATCGCACAGACGTCACCGCGCTGACCTCAAGCCCTCTTTCTGGGAGCAAGATGGGACACGCACACAGCGACTGACTGACTGACTTGGACAGACTGACTGGCCGAGTGAGTGACCGACCTTGGAGGTGAAGGCGAGTGATGCTAGTTAGCGAATGGCAGCCTTCCATCGCACAGACGTCACCGCGGTGACCTCAAGCCCTCTTTCTGGGAGCAAGATGGGACACGCACACAGCGACTGACTGACTGACTTGGACAGACTGACTGGCCGAGTGAGTGACCGACCTTGGAGGTGAAGGCGAGGGATGCTTGTGAGCGAATGGCAGCCTTCCATCGCACAGACGTCACCGCGCTGACCTCAAGCCCTCTTTCTGGGAGCAAGATGGGACACGCACACAGCGACTGACTGACTGACTTGGACAGACTGACTGGCCGAGTGAGTGACCGACCTTGGAGGTGAAGGCGAGTGATGCTAGTGAGCGAATGGCAGCCTTCCATCGCACAGACGTCACCGCGGTGACCTCAAGCCCTCTTTCTGGGAGCAAGATGGGACACGCACACAGCGACTGACTGACTGACTTGGACAGACTGACTGGCCGAGTGAGTGACCGACCTTGGAGGTGAAGGTGAGTGATGCTTGTGAGCGAATGGCAGCCTTCCATCGCACAGACGTCACCGCGGTGACCTCAAGCCCTCTTTCTGGGAGCAAGATGGGAGACGCACACAGCGACTGACTGACTGACTTGGACAGACTGACTGGCCGAGTGAGTGACCGACCTTGGAGGTGAAGGCGAGTGATGCTTGTGAGCGAATGGCAGCCTTCCATCGCACAGACGTCACTGCGTTGACATCAAATCCACTGGCTGCCAACACGCCCATCCATACTCCAAAGCCAAAACCACAGCCGTACCATCCCTGAAAAAAAGGGAGGAGGGGGGAGGGAGGAGAAAGAATGGGAAGGGGGTGGAGCGAACAAGAGAGGGGTGCTTGCGAGTTGCAGCCAACACGCCCATCCACACCCCAAAGCCAAAGCCACAGCTGTACCAACCCTGCAGGATGACGTAAGGGAGGGAGGATGTGATGTGGATTAGTTACACCCAACCTGCTTGTTTCTGTTTTGCACAGCGTTCATCTCACCTGCTCGCCATCAGAGGTGAATGGCCTGGCCAATCGAATGGCTTCAAAAGTGAGACGATTTTTAGGCGCCTAAAAAATGGTTTCACCTCAGGCAATTTTCCACATGGTCTGGCCTGGCATGGCCTGGTCTGGCCTGGCCTGGCCTGGCCTTGCTCCATGAAGGCAAGTCACACCACCGAATGCCCTTTACAATGAAACGACGTTTGTTGCGCCTCAGGGGTCGTTTCATGAAGGCAAGTCAGACCACCGAATGCACTGTAGAATGCACATATTGCATGCCTGTAGTAGGTATGTGCATTACACATGTGCAGAGGCAGTACCTGCTTGCACGCACCCCACTTCACACTGCTGGACACACCTGCTTGCAACTCATCCCACCTGTTTGCACCCAGCAGAACCCACCTGCTTGCCATCAGAGGGAAACGGCCTGGCCTGCTCCACATAGGCAAGGCGAACTGAAGAGGAAATGAGAGAGGGGAGGAGAGAGGGGAGAGAGAGAGAGGGATGAGAGAGGGGATGAGAGAGGGGAGGAGAGAGGGGAGGAGAGAGGGGATGAGAGAGGGGAGGAGAGAGGGGATGAGAGAGGGGAGGAGAGAGGGGAGAGAGGGGATGAGAGAGGGGAGGAGAGAGGGGATGAGAGCGAGAGGGGAGCCAAGAAGGGCGAGGAGAAGAGGGTGTGGGGCGGGGAGAAGAGAACGGTGAGAAGAGAGGTGAAACGAGTAGGGGTTTTCAACAGCAAGGCCAGGGAATGTGAGAGAAAGCTGAGAGGAAAGTGAGAGTAACGTGACAGGATAGTGAGAAAAAGGCAAGAGGAGAGTGATATGCAGGAGAAAGAAAGGCGAGATGAAGGTGAGTGGAAGAAAACATAGTGAAGTGGCAAGAAAGAAACAGCATAGATGCTTTGCTGCAGGTGGTGGTAATTAGAAACTTAACATACCTGGCGCAGGTGGCAACTGGTGCAGGAGGAGAGCCGCTATGGCCTGGGTGCAGTGCCTCTTGTACCTCTAGAGGAGTCCCTTGGGGCAGTTTTCATGGTAACCAGACCAGGCTGAAACAGAATGAACTCACCTGGTGCAGGTGGCAGCTGGTGCAGGAGTGCCGCTATGGCCTGGGCACAGTGCCTCTTGCGATTTGAAGCACCCACTGATACAAGCTCAAACGGCACATCATGAATCTGGGTGAAGGAAATTAGGGTTTCAGGTTTAGGGTTTCAGATTTCAGGCTTCAGGTTTCAGATTTCAAGTTTCAGATTTCAGGTATATGATTTTGGATTTCAGATACAAGCTCGAAAGACACATCATGGATTTGAGGGTGAGTGGTAGTGAGGGATGGGCATGGGGTTGAGCATGGGAATGGGCAAGGGGGTGGGGTTGGGGATTTGCATGGGGTTGGCGACGTGGGGTGAGCGTGGGGGTGGGCATGAAAAGCGATGGAGTTTATGCCATTTTCTGGCAATGACGGTTCATGAACACATCGCCTTAGGAGTTTAGAAAAACATGGACAGGTGCATCATGGCCAGGTGCATCTGTCAATACTCTCACCTGCCCACACATCCACCTGCCCTTACACAAATTCAAAAACAATTTCAACAGTATCCCTCAAATAGCCCACCTGTCCACACAGTGTTGCTCTCCCTTCCTCCGACCCATCCTCCCCATCGCCTCCTAGCAAGATTCTTGTCCATCCCTCCATCTCCTCCCCAAGCTCCCATACACCCACCTGCCCATACACTCTGCCGCCCATACATGGATTTCAAGAACCATTTTCAACAGTATCCCACCTATAGCCCACCCACCCACCTGTCCATAGAGTGTTGCTCTCTCTTCCTCCGACCCATCCGCCCCATCTCGTCCTAGCAAGATTCTTGTCCATCCCTCCATCTCCTCCCCAAGCTCCCAAATTCTCTCACACTCCTCTCTTCCCCCCTCCACTTTCACTGCTCCTATTCCACTTCCTCCTCCTTCCGCCTCTCTCGCAGCTTCACCAGCGGCAGCAGCAGCAGCAGCAGCAGCAGCAGGCCTCTCCTCCCATTCCCCCATCATTCCATTTTGAATTGCCTCAGAACGAGACTGAGCATGCAGCGCCCTCTCAGCAACCTCCCCTGCCTCCTCCAGTGCACCCCTCCCCTCGACTACCTTTACACCCTCGTCCTCCACCCCTCGTTCTCTCCTTCCTTCTCTCCTTGGTTTCACTACCAGCACAGCAACTGCACCCAGCACGTCTGGGTCGACTCCCAAAATGACAGCCCCCTCGGGGTGCCTCTGGGATAGTTCAGCGTGCCACGTTCTCTTGCGCGATTCCATGGGGTCCAGTGCGGTGGGAGCCGGTACACGTGACCCTCTCCCACCCTCCGTGTCGCTGCTGCTACCCACCGCTTCTAGCACGAGGTTTTGGAGGAATTTCAAGAGAGAGGTGCCATCCCCACCATCTGGAAGGTTGCTTGCCATATCGCCCATTGACTCGACACATACAGGGTCCCCCACATCAGCACACACACGGTCCCGCAGTGACTCTTGAGTCGACTCAAAAGTCACCACATCAACACATACAGGGTTCCCCAGTGACTCAGGGTCCCCCACATCGCCACACACAGGGTCCTTCACATTGCCACACACAGGGTCCTTCACATTGCCACACACAGGGTCCTTCACATTGCCACACACAGGGTCCTTCACATTGCCACACAAAGCACCTGCACTGTCGTATCGCACTCCCATTTGCATGTTATCGCCTGCCTGGTCATTTCCACTCTCCTCCTTGCCAATCACTCTCTCTTCCTTGCTTTTCCGCCTCCCCCTCACCTTCTTCTTCCCCTCCCCCTCTCCCTCCCCCTCGCCCTCACCCTCCTCTTTCATCCCCCCATCCACATTTTTCTCGGTCAGCTCAGCAGACTTTCTTCTGCCCTGCGTTCTCTTCACCACAGCCACAACACCCACCGCATCACCACTGTTCGAGTGGTCACTCCTGCTAAAATCACTCCTACTAAAGTCACTCCGGATGGAATCATCATCACCGGTTGTGTGGCGGACAGAAACTGGATAATCAATCTCCGTGCTTCCACTTGCCACTCTCCCCTCCTCCACTCCTTCCCCCACCACTCCCTCATCCCCTCCCTGTTCCACCAGTACTGTGAGCTGCTTCCCTTTCCCTCTCCCCTTTCCCCCTCCCTCCCCTCGTGTTCCCCTCTCCCCACTACCCTTTGGCCTCCCCCTCCGCCCCTTCCCCCTCCCACCCGCCTCCTCCAGCAAACCTGTCATACTCGTTATAGTCAACTCAATATCAGCAGAGGTTGCTGTACTCGTTACTGGAGATTCCGTCTCAATGGGTATAACAGAAGCGGATCTTTCAGCATCGAGTACACTGGCAGAAGCATCGTGGCCGTTGGATGCTGCAGCTGAGCAAGCACCCCTGCCCGGGAAACTGTTCACAGGACCGTTCACCTGCCCGAAACAACCCGCACGGGCAAAGCGGGCAGGAGAGAGGGCCGCTGGCAAGGGGAACAGCCGCTCTGCCATTCCAGATGAGCAAATCTGCCGGAAAGCGATATTGATGGGGTGTGGTAACTGTGCCAGTTTCGCCAGCACCCCTGAATTCGCCAGCATTGCTGCATTCGCCAGCACCGCTGAATTTTTCATCGTTGGTAACTTCGCCAGCACCCCTGAATTCGCGATCCTTGGTACCGGCCGGGCTATTGCTGCTGGGATGAATTCAATAACCGCTGGTGGGCTCGCGAAGGCTGTAGCTGTGAGGAAGGCTGCAGCAGGGGTGTTGGGGGATTGCTGGCTGGAGGGAGGGCGCAGAGGGACGCGGGAAGGGGAATGGGGACGGGGAAGGGGAGCGGAATAAGGTTTAGGGTTAGGAGGGATGCAGAATGTTGAAAGAGGAGAGAAGGCGTGGAGGGAACGACTAGTGACAAATGTACCTATCTGTACCGTATTCTACCTACTCACAAGCCCATAACTTGGCACCTTTCTTCATGATGTACCTTGATGGCACCGATAATCGTATATCGCGGACAGTTTTATACGAGCTACAGGCGGAGACGCAGTGCGTACGAACTCGCGAGGCCGAGCGCGAATAACGCCAATGCAGCATTAAGGGGGTAACGACAGGCTATTTTATATCGCAGACAGATTCTAACGAGGAGCTCGCGGGGACGCAGTGCATGCGATCTCGCGAGGTCGAATGCCGTGTCTCTATCGCGAATGACCTCAACAAGCAGGAAGCATATACGCACGGGGTAGAAGCTCGGGAAGCCCAGCGGTATTTCCTGGCGTAGTAGCGGGACAGGCTATCTTATAGTGCGGATAGCGATTTCAAGCAGATTATGAACCTAGCTTACGATAATAAACTGAAAATAAAAGAGTGTGATTTTGTTCCGAAACTTATGCTTCTCAGGGATTGTCAATTACAAATGTAGAATTTGAAGAGCAAAACACTTAAATCATATGCCACATCACCCAGATGCATGGTTGGTTTGTCTATTGATCAGTGAAGAGGCAATGCACCATTGCATGTTACATCAATTACTAATAGTCCTCCAAGGGCATGGTTTGTCTTGAATAGTCACGTGGCATGCGCACCATGGCACTTAGGTTTGCTACAGTGTTAGTGCGTTTAGAGTATTCCGCGACTAGCTGTGAGAAGAGCGATCTCTTATTGGCCAGCAGCCGCACAGGAGAGTCAAATTCCTCCACTCTACCTGCAGAACCAAATCAAATCAAATCAGAGAGGTGAGTGCATGGTGGACAAATGTGGGATCAGCAGGAACATGATTCGCAATTAGCGTGTCCAAGAGGTGAGGGAGGAAACAAGGGTTTCATGAAATGTGTGGTAGGGTTGGTAGGGGTTGGTAGGGAGGTGGAGGGGTTGCCTTCTACAACGGCCTAACCATTTGTCATCCACACATGTACATGGCTTCATCCCTCACCTGCCTCCAGCACGAGCACTTTATCGGAGTCGATTACAGAGGGGATGCGATGCGCTACAGTGATCACAGTCGCCCGGGCAAAGTTCTCCTTTATGGTCCGTTGGATGATGGCGTCAGTGGCCGAATCAACGGACGCCGTTGCTTCATCCAGCACCAGGATTCGAGAGCGCTTGAGCAGAGCCCTGGCGAGGCAGAATAGCTGCCTCTGCCCCACGCTCCAGTTCTCTCCTCCCTCCACCACTGCAGGGGGGACATGATTTAGGAAAGGAGTTTTTTGGCATGTGTTAGAGCCAATTGAAAAGCTGCCTTTTCCCCACGTTCCAATTCTCCCCTCGCCACTGCAGGAGAAAAGATTCGACATTGGGGAAAAAGCACTGAAATGATACTTGCTTTGACCTAGGATTCACAGAATGCAAAGATTCTGAAATGCCTTCATAGATTTGAGCTTTCCTTAATCAAGGCAACACAGAGGAGGAGCGGCAGCAGAGGAGCAGAGGGAAAAGGACAAGACTCACCAATGGCGTCCAGCTTGTCCTCCTTGTCCATTACTGCCTCCGCCAGCTGGCACTTCTCCAGCACCTCCCAGAGCAAACTGGAATGGTACCGACCCAGCGGGTCCAGGTTCGACCGAACCGTGCCTTCGAACAGGGTCGGGTCCTGCGGAATGATGGCCAATCTGGACCGTAGATCTTGCAATCCAATGGTCGAGATGTCCACGCCGTCGATCATGACTCGACCGCCCACCGGCTCGACCAATCGGAAGAGAGCTACGACGAGGGTGGATTTGCCGCTGCCAGTGCGGCCGACCACTCCCACCTTCTCCCCGCCTCTGAACGTCACTGTCACGCCTTTTAGCACCAGGGGCATGGCTTCTCGATACCGCATCTGGGTGTAATGGAGCAAAGGAAAGTGGAGGTGGAAGAAAAAGGTCGAGAGAGGTTAATTTTTTCCCATGCGGCCAATCACGCCCACCTTCTCGCCGCTTCTGAACGTCACTGTCGCGCCTTTTAGAACCAGAGGAATGGATTCTCTGTAGCGCATCTGAGGGTACAGGGAATATGGAAAGGAGGGGGAGAGAAGGGAAGGATAGAGACGGGTTTGTTTCCAGTGAGACCTACCACTCACACCTTCTCCCCTCCTCCTCCCCGCCTCTCCAAAGTTCACAGTGAGGCCTTTTGCAGACAAAGGCATTTCCTCCCTGTAGCGCATCTGTATGCAAGAATGGAAGCGAAGGGGAAAGCAGGGAAAGGTCCGGGGAGCTCTGCGGCAGGGCGGTTGCTTGCTCTCAACGATCAGGGGCGCCTCAGAGGGGATGGCAGAGAAATGGCGGATATGATCTACCGTCACAAGCTTGCTTTTTGAAGTCTGGATTTCTTCCCCATCACAGACGGCCCACTGAGGGGACGCCTCCGCCTACTGAGGCGGCCCAAGAGAAAGCACTGGGCCACAAGGTGAGAAGCAGTGGGCTGGGCTCACCTGAAGGTTTTCAAAGCTGATAGATCCGCGGTTGGGCCAGTCGGCAGAGGGGCGGTTGCCCTCGACGATCAGGGGCGCCTCAGAGGGGATGGCGGAGAAATGGCGGATGCGATCCACTGCGACTAGCTTGTTCTCAAGGTTGGAGAGATGCCACATGGTCATTACCAGCGCCATGTTGAGGGTTAGTCCGTAGGCCAAGGATACGCCTGCTTGGCCTGGTGAAAGGCACAGAAAGAACAGGAAGGAGGAAAGACACGATATGTTCGCGAGGTTGGAGAGACGCCGCATGGTCATTACCAGCGTCATGTTCGGGTTTAGTTTACAGGAGAGAGAAACTCCTGCTAAGCCTTGTCAGTCACACAAAGGAAGGGAGAGGAGGGGACAACACAGCATGGGGTTGGATAGAGATGCTACATCGACATCACTAGCGCCCATTGAGGGTCAGGCCGTAGGCAACAAAAAAATCCGCGTGTGAGGAGTCTAGTTTTGAGGCGCCATAGTAGTGGACTGTGGAAGTAGGCGCGCATGTTGTTATCCACCGCACCCACGTTCTCTATCTCAAACTGCTCACCTCACTGCACCCATCACCTCCGGTTCAAACCCAGAACCAAAGTCCCTACCTGGTTCGATGGTGCCTTGAGGCGCGAGCACCAGCATGAACGCAACGAAGGCAAGCACCACAGCAGAAATCGTTTCCAATCGGAGCCAGCCAGTAGATGGCGCCATAGTAGTGGAAGTAGGCACGCATATTGTTATCCACCGCACCCGCGTTCTCTATCTCAAACTGCTCCCTGTGCCGCACCCATCACTCCTCTCAAATTCGAATCAAACCCAGAAACACGCTCCTACCTGGTTCAATGGTGCCTTGAGGGACGAGCACCAGGAGGAACGCAACGAAGGCAAGGACCACAGCCGAGATGGTTTCAAGTCGGAGACCCAGCCAGTAGATGGCGCCATAGTAGTGGAAGTATGCTCGCATGTTGTTGTCCACCGCATCCGCGTTCTCTATCTCAAACCGCTCCTCCTGGGCGAACGCACGGATCACTGCCGCGCCGGCGAGGGTCTCGGAGAAATGTGCGAGGATGGGCGACTTGGTTAGGCCGTCGATTCGAGTGAGCTCCCGCGACGAGGAGAGGTAGTAGCGCTGGAAGGAGGAGGGGGAGGAAAGACAAAGGGACGGAGAAAGGGAGGGAATTTGGGGACACATCTGTGAGGAGGATGAGGGGTTTGCCGGCATTGCGGGCTAGCTATGCTCGAACCAACGGTTCAGTACGAACCAGTACGGTTCGACCCAAAAGGGTCATGGTTCGGAACGCCATGGTTTGGTTTGGTCCGGTTCGGATCGGTTCTGTGCTCATGCCTAGGTAGGAGCATGGCTACGGGTTACTAGAATTATTCAGTCGCTGTGGTATGCAATACGAGATTACATTTGAGGCGCCTAAAAAAAGGCAGTGGCAGGTAAGAAGAGAATGAAAGAGATGGCAATAACAGCACGCTGCATGCTGCCACATGTCAACACACGAACAGCTACCTCATTAACAGTTCACGTGGATCATTGCCTTTATCTCACACCTGAAGCGGCACATAGATGGATGGACCCTACAATTAACCACCTGTGTGCGTGCTATGAGTGCATGGGTATTGGGCATATAACCCACCTGCAGCGGCACGTAGAGCAGCGCGAGGGGGATGAGGGCAACAATGACAGGCCAGCCAGGTGACGGCAGAGGTGATACTCGAGGAGGAGTCCTTTACACTATAGTACCTTAACCTGTAGAACTGGAGTTGCTTCAACCTGCACCCTTTCCCACCTGCAGCGGCACGTAGAGCAGCGCGAGGGGGATGAGGACGACGATGACCGGCCAGGTCACGGCAGCAGTGACGAGAAAGATTCCCAGAAGCTGTACGAGGTTGTTGAGCACGGAGCCAAAGTTGAAGAAGAGCTGCAAGTCAAGGGCGTTCTGGTCCGCTGATGCCTGATACAAAAAGAGCGGTGCAGAGGGGTGGAGAGAGAGGGTTTAGGGTTAGGCGTGGTGCAAGTCCAGCACGTTCTGGTTTGCTGATGCCTGCCTGATGGCGTAGGGGGGGGGAAGGGGAGGGAGGGTGGGCCGGAAGAGGGGGAGACAGAAAAGGGGGGGGGGGGGATGGGGTCGTGGGGGGAGAGATGGAGTCAAGGGGCTTGGGGCAACCAAGATCTACAGCATGACTCCACGGCTCCAAGACAGCGCTTACCCTGGCAAGTGTTCGCCCGGTGGGTGTGGAATCAAAGAAGGCCATGGGGGCGCGGAAGACAGCATGCAGCATGTCCTGAAAGAACCCATCTGCTGTCCTCAGCCCCACATGGACCGAGAGGAAGGCGCGGAGGACGACGAAGAGGCCGCTGCCGATGGCGAGGGAGGCGTAGGCTCGGACGTCCGGCCACGTGAGCACGGCTGGATGGAGGGGTTGGACTTCCCGAGCTAGCCACCAGTTGGCGCCTATCTGAAGCACCTGGAAAAGCACCTGAGGGTGGTGGGGGGAAGGAGGGTGGAAAATGGTGGCGAGAGCAGGGGCAACGGAAGGATATGAAAGTTTTTGCATCCTCTCACACAAACCCTCGGGATGCTTCAACAAATGGGAGATTGACACCAAACCACAATGATGTGGCATCACACCACACTTGAGCCAGCTCTAATCTCTCCGCTGCGAGCAAGCACCTGTGAAGCCACAATAATGGGCACAATGGATGATGGATCCACCACAAGCCCGTGTGAGATACGCCCGATACACCTCCGAATTCATCTGCCCAAACTGCCGGTCCCCACTCCCCATGCACCCCTGCAGTGGCCCTTGACTCAGCTGCAAACTCCCCTCCAGCCACACACCTGGGAGTCACCTATCTTTTCCTTGCGAGCACTCACCTGCGAAGCCATAATAATCGGGACCATGGATCCACCATATGCCCGCGTAAGGTTAAGGAACGCCTGGTACATCTCCGCATTCACCCGCCCAACCACGCAACCTGCCCTCTGCTCTCTATGCACCCCTGTGGTACCACTTCGACTCCTGCTTCCCCTCTTCTCCCTGCAAGCATGCCCTAACTCCTACCTGCGAGGCCACAATGATGGGCACCATGGATCCGCCATATGCCCGCGTGAGATACGCCCTGTACACATCCGCATTCACCCGCCCAAACTGCCGGTCCTCCGCCCCACTCGCCACCGCCGCTGCCACCGCTGCCATCGGACCCACCACCACTCCCCCCGCTCCCCCCACCACCCCAATCAATGACCCATCCGCAGCAACCCCGCTTGGCCCACCACCCCCCACACCCAAACCATCTCCCCCACCCATCCCCGGGCCTCCCATCCCTCCCGAGCCTCCGCCCGAGGCTAGCCCGAGCCCGTCAGGCCCGGCCTGGGGGCCCAGCAGCAGCGTCGCCAGCTCTTGATCGTCCATGTCAAACCGGGAGAACACGTCTCCATTAGCAGCTAGGATGTTCCCGAGGGAAGGGGCACGTTGCGGTTGAGGGTGGTGGTGGGAGGTGTGGGACGGTTGGAAGGGGTTGGGAGGGGGCAGGTCCATGGATCCCATGGCGTCGTTGTGTGCGTCGAGCAGCAGGGAGAAGTCGGTGCCGGCCCGCTGTAGCTCCTCGTACTGCCCTGCTTGGACTATCTCCCCATCGCGCATCACCTGGCATGGAAGGGAGTGGGATGGGAGGAAAAAGGCGTCCACTAGGAGGGAGAAGTCTGTGTCAGCGTGCTGCAGATCCTTGTGCTGCCCGGCTTGGACTATCTCCCCATCCACCATCACCTGTAAAGAGGGTTCAAGGACGTGTGGTGAAGAGCGGCGGAGTGCGGTGGAGTGTGGTAGAGTGCACAAGGCAAGGAAGGACAGAGTTGAGCCACAAGTCCGGTGCATCTGCATGTGAACAAGGAGAAGGGAACTCGCACCATCGCCATGTGCTCAGACATTTCCATCTCCAAGATCGTGGCACGGCTGGGTGAAGTGCACCTAAGCATGCAAGTGAGAATACCCCCACAGGTAATTGCTGGAAGCATGATGACATCAGCACGCACCAGGATGAGGTCAGCAGCCGGCAGGAACTCAAGCTGATTGGTCACGAAGAGAACAGTCTTGGCACCCAGCAGACCCAGCACACACTCCTGGTGGTGGGAGCAGAGAAAACAAGGGTAGTGCGGATTAAGGTAAGTGAGTGTAAAAAGTGGTGCCAGTAATGGTGTCCTGGTGGTGAGCAACACAGATGAGGCAAAGGGAAGGAGGAACTCATCACACCTGGTGGGAACCAATAGATTCATCTCTCTCACACACACACATGCACCCACGCACGCACGCACGCACGCACGCACGCATGCACGCACGCACGCACACACCCACGTATGCACGCACACACCGCACGCATGCACGCACCCACGCACGCACGCACACGCACGCACGCACGCACGCACGCACGCACGCACACACAGAGACAATCACATGCATGCACGGATTACACCAAACTGAAACCCAAGGGCTCACATCGAAGATCAAGGAGCCAGTGGCGGTGACGACACTCGGAAAGGGATCATCAAGCAGGTAGATGTCAGCATCGTGGTACACGGCCCTCGCCACCTGAATGCGCTGCCTCTGCCCCTAAACACTATGATGATAGACTGTGACCTCACTTAAATCCAAAAAGGGTTTGTTGCATGCTCACATCAAAGATCAAGGAGCCGGTGGCGGCAAGGATCAAAAATACGACCGAAATATTGATTTTTTTACCGTATTATACGGTATCGTATTATACGGTCGTTTAAAACGGTTTAGTACGGTTAAATGTTAATTTTATGTTTCGATTAAAAATACGGTCGTTTTTTTCGGCCGAAATTTTGGAACTGAGAAAGTGTACACCGAATTTCAACAATCAGCCCCGTCGAGTTCAATATGGGGGATTTCGTGAGAAGTCGAGTCAGTCTCGCTCGAATTTGGGCCGAGTCGCGAATGTCAGGAAAATGTCGTGGAGCGACATTTTGACATCTGACGAACGGTATGAAATCGCTTACCCGTTTCGCAGAGTCGTTTGAGTAGTTCGCCGAATCGCGACGACACCAAATTTCCGAGGCGCGGAAATGTACACCATTGGCGAACCCATTCAACCTTCTTACCCGTTTCGCGGAGTCGTTAGCACAACTCGCGCGCGTGGGTTTAGTTTTCGCCTGCAATCGTGACGCCTCGCACAATTGCGCGCGACACATTTCCAGCCAATAGTAATCGCCCATCCATCTCCCATCTCACGTCATCCATTCTTCAAACACCCCTCGTCAAAGCAGCACAATCAAGGAGTAAGAGTTACATATTGGAGGAGGAAAATCCCATTCGACACATTCATCCTCTCTGGCTGCCGTATCTCAAAACAACAATCTCTCACCCACACTTTCTTAGCATAGTCTAGTTCACCGCCATGGTGCGTCCCGCTTCTCAGTTTTGGGAGCATGTCATCAAGATTAAGGATGACGAAGGCAACTTAGTCGGTGCTACCTGCATTCATTGCAAGAATCCTGTGTCGGCTAATGCGACTAGGATAGGCGAGCACATGTTCGGCACTAACGAGAGGGACAAGAACATCGCGATGTGCAAGTCGGACTACGCTAAGCAGCTGCGGGCGATAGCCGATCAGGATCGCTCGACCACGGGAAATGCTTCGGGAGGATCAAACCGTGCCTCCACGTCCACGGTGGAGGCGCCGCCCGTGCGTCGCTCCCGGCAGCGAGATATCCGTGACATGACGGACCAAGTTGCGCATAATCGCCTGGATTACCTGTGGGCTGCTGCAGTTGCCGAGAACGACCTCGCTTTCAACGTCAGCAAGTCGAAATCGATCCAGGCCTTCGTTGACGCGGTGATCATGTACGCGAAACCGTACACCCTCCCAACCCCGTACAAGGTATCCGGCCCGCTGCTGGACAAGCTGAAGGCGGACTCCTAGGACCTGCTGCGGCCGCTAAAGGAGAGCTGGAAGACCAGCGGGTGCACGCTCTCCGTCGATGGATGGACATGCATCAAATCCCGCGGTCTGGTGTGTGTCATCGCGCAAAATGACACTGCACCCGTCATCGTCGACATCGTCGACTCGAAGACCGCCAAAAAAACCGGTGACTACTTGGCGTAGGCATGGGCAATTGACCCGACCCGGCCCGACCCGTCCCGTCTAGGGCGACCCGTTACCAAAACGGGTCGGGACGGGTCGGGTCGGCGGGTCGGGTTTGAGTCTGTTTTGATGACCCGACCCGCCCCGTAGGCACGGGTATTTGTGACCCGTACCCTGGTCGGTTACACCACGGGTCGGGTCGGGTCGGGTCGGGTCGGGTCGGGTCAAAACTTGCTACAGAGCATCAGGGTATGGGTGTTAAGTCTGAATTGCTTCATTGTACATTCATGTTACAATTATAATATACTAATTGTTCATATGTGCCTTAGACTATGGAACATTAGAAACCAGGTGACGTTCTCCCCCTCTACAAATTGAACTGGATCTGAATGTCGAGGGGAAACAAAACATAAGAAACCAGGTGACGTTCTCCCCCTCTACAAATTGAACCCTAATCAGATCACGGGTCGGGTAACCCTAACATTTGACTAGGTACGCGACCCGGACGGGTCGGGTCGACCCGGCCCGGCGGGTCGCTAATACCCGTCTAAAAATCACTTAGACGGGTCACGGGTCGACCCGACCCGTCCGGGTATACCCGACCCGACCCGGGCGGGTCGACATGCTCTGCATGACTGACCCGACCCGCCCAAAAGGGCGGGTCGGGTCGGGTAACCCGACCCGTCCGGGTCAATTGCCCATGCCTAACTTGGCGGGTCTTATTCAGGGAGCGATCACCACGGTGGGGCCGAAGCATGTCGTCCAAGTCGTAATGGATAACGCTTCGAACAACAAAAACGCCGCCAACAAGCTGAGCGCGGATTATCCCCATATCTTCTTCACCAACTGCGCCGCCCCTCATGTTGCACGACATCGGCAAGATCCCTGCTGTTAAACTCGTCCTTTCCCAAGTGCATCAGGTAGTGATGATGATCAAAGGCTCCGCCTCGGCCGTCATCTTGTTCCGTGAGCTTTTTACCAAGCTCTCGTTGGTGCGGCCTGGTGCAACGAGATTTGGCACCCAGGTCATCATGCTCGGCAGGTTCCTGGAGGTGAAGCGCGCGTTGAGGGCGATGGTAATCAGCGAGGAATGGGAGGATGTGGCGGTGGCACGGACGGAGGAGGGGATGGAGGTTAGGAAGCTGCTTTTGGACGATGTTTTTTGGGACTGTGGGACGGCCGTGCACCGCCTCATGACTCCCATCTACGAGGTTCTTCGTGCCGTCGACACACAGGCTCAAGTCATGGGGCAGCTGTACGGCCTCATGCTTGAAGCCACGGTGAAGACTAATGCGGCGGCTGAGACGGCTGGTGAGTGAGACGGCTGAAAGTATTACGCTTTGGTATTGTTTGTTAATCGCTCCACCCACCCGGTCATGCTTCCTATCTAATTAGTGCTCGTTATTCACTGTGAGCAGCCGCACACTTCATCAAGCGGACGGGTCTTCTATTACCGAAGGACAAGAGCACCTTTCTCACCACCATCAAGGCGATCATTGCCAGGAGGTGGGATGCACAACTGCACAACCCCCTGCACGCCATCGGTTGGCTCCTCAACCCCCGTAACCAGTACATCGGGGAGGTAAGGAATGACAAGGAGATTAGGAAGGGGGTGGATGAGGTAATCAAGGCCCGGGGCGGGGATGTGCAGCAGCGCATAACCCTAGCTGCACAGGTGGCTCAGTTTCACCGAGGGGAGGGCAGGTTGGGCTCTGACGATGCCCGTTGGGCAGCAACTACCTTGGTGGAGGCGGGGCGCATGACGGAGGCGGAATGGTGGTTCCTGTTTGGTGGGGATGTGCAGGCGCTCCAAGACCTGGCTATGACGTCACTCTCACAGCCAGTCACCTCCTCCGAGGTGGAGAGGTACTGGTCGGCGCTGGCACGTGTGCAGAGGCGCGACCGGAACCGCCTCACGGCGAAGAAGATGACTGATGTCACCTTCGTCGCCTTCACCCGACGGGCCCGTGATGCCTTTGATCGAAAGGCAGCCTTGCGTTCCAAGCTCTATCAGGACCTAGGCAACGGCACCCTCAGGGAAGGGGCTGCCATCATCCCGGCCGAGTGGAGGTGGAGGAAGGGGATGCGGAGGAGGAGGCACCCGTGGAGGAGGAATGCACCATTGATTGGTCGGAATTTGAGAGCATCGGCAAGAAGAGGAAAGGGAAGGCGGGTAAGTCATCTAAAGGGAAGAAGAAGGGGAAGGGCAACGGTGCATGCAACGGAAAGGGGAAAGGAAAACCAGGGGATGCGGAGGAGGAAGAGGAGGCGGAAGACAGCGGTGGGGAGGAGGAAGAGCCTGCCCAGAATCCCAAGGGACGATATGCCTGGGATTGTAGCGACGGTTCAAGTGGGGAGGAGGAAGAGGAGGAAGAGGATGACGAGGAGTATGACGGTTAGAGTGGGGAGGGAGGAGGAAGAGGATGGCGAGGTGGTGGAGTAGGAAGAATAGAAGGCAGAAGGGTGAGTATAGTGGGGTAGGGATGGATTTTGGAGGAGATGTAGGCTAAAGGCCGGTACTTGCCTAGGTGTGCATGCATAGTAAGGGTAGCGGCAGTATTAGTGGACCTTAGCATGCCTGTTTCTCCTTAGAGTAGGTTGTTATCGCCTTCCTAGTCTTTGTTGTAGCCATTTCAGTAGATTCTGGAAAAAAATCCGACATAAAAATGGCCAACAAAAAAACGACCGAAATTTTGGAAAACTGAACGTATTTTACCATCGAAAAAAACGCCCCGTATAATACGATAGCCGTATTTTTTATCCTTGGGTGGCGGTGTCAACACTGGAGAACGGGTCATCAAGCAGGTAGATGTCAGCATCGTGGTACACGGCCCTCGCCACCTGAATGCGCTGCCTCTGCCCCTAAACACTATGTTGATAGACTGTGACCTCACTTAAATCCAAAAAGGGTTTGTTGCATGCTCACATCAAAGATCAAGGAGCCGGTGGCGGTGTCAACACTGGAGAAGGGGTCATCAAGCAGGTAGATGTCAGCATCATGGTACACGGCCCTCGCCACCTGGATGCGCTGCTTCTGCCCGCCTGATAGGTTGATCCCCCGCTCCCCGATCTCCGTCTCGTCGCCACGTGGCAGCACTGCCACGTCAGATGCCAGCACAGAGGCGTAGAGAAGCCAGGTGGAGTGTGATAACAAGCGCCAAGTGTGCATGCAACGCGGGTGCCAGCTTAGAAAAAAATGCACATGCTGACATGGCAGTTAGGTCAGCAGCGAGGCTGCACATGCACACACCTGCCAGGTCAGCAGCGAGGGCGCAGACGCGCAGCACGCGCTCGTAGAGGGCGCGGTTCATCTGGAGGCCGAAGGTGACGTTGTCCCGGATGGTGCCATTCTGAATCCAGGGGGTCTGCGGCACATGCGCTATCGTTCCCGCCACTTGCACCTGCGGGAAGCAGCGGGAAGGGTGTGAGGGAGACTCTTCAATACGATCGTGGTTCACTCCACTCACAATCCCCACTCACACTCCCCTCCCAAGGCACACTCACAATGCCAGATAGTTTGTGCATCTCCCCCAGGATACAGCTGAGAAGGCTCGACTTGCCCAACCCAACAGGCCCACAGATGGGCACTCTTGGTCATACCCCCCACCCCCAGTTCCTGATCGCACACTCTACTCGACTCACAATGCCCGACAACTTGTGCATCTCCCCCAAAATGCAGCTGAGAAGGCTCGACTTGCCCGACCCAACAGGCCCACAGATAGCCACTCTCGCCCCGCGGCCTATCTGCATGCCAATGCCCCGCAGCGTGGGCCGGTGCATGTGCTGCAGGTGCGGCGGGGGCAGGTCCCATGTGAAGGCGCCGCCGTCGACGAAAACAGCGTCCTCTGTGTCCTCCGGGGAGAGCCATGAGACTGCTGTCACCTCGATCTCCTGCGCTGACTGGTACCTGGATTGGGGGTGGGGATGGTGATGGGGATGGGGATGGAGAGAGGGGTGGGGATGGAGATGGGCAGATGGGGATGGGGTTGGGAATGGGGATGGCCAAATGGGGATGGGTTTGGGAATGGGGAGTGGGATGGGGATGGGGCTGGGAATAAGGACAGGAGCAGGGAGCAGGTAAATGAGCAGGGAGCAGCAGGTAAATGAGCAGGGAGCAGCAGGTAAATGAGCAGGGAGCAGCAGGTAAATGAGCAGGGAGAAGGGAGCCGTCTAGCTGGGGAGAAATACCTGGCGAGGCGGTCAAGAGACACGAGTGCTTGAGAGATGGAGGAGAGGACGTCCGGGAACGAGCGGAGGGGCTCCTGTGGGGCAGAGAAGAGGGAGAAATAATGGGCGCGAGGGAATCAGGAGGATGGGAAGGTGTGGGGGAGCAGCGGAGCCATGAAGACACGAGAGATGGAGGAGAGGATGTAACGTGTACGGAACAAGCGAGTGGAGTGGAGCGACTCCTGTGCGGTGCGGCAAGGAAGAGAATCACCGGGACAGACAGAGGGAGTGAGGCAGCGGAGAGAGCTGGAAAATCATGGGTGCTTGAGAACTGGGGGAGAGGACGGACGGGAACAGGTGGAGCGGCTCATTGGAACAGAGGAAAGGAGACACGGAGGGGAATGGATGAAAGGACGTGGACCCACCTGGAGAATCCAGAAGGTTGAAATGGCAGTGAAAATGGAAGTGGGGGCCTAAGAATTGGGAGGTGACGAGGAAAGGCGACATCCAGAGAAAGACAATGTTGGCCGCCAAACCAGGCAGGCTGCACTCAGGGCTCACCCAGACCCAGGTAGTGGCACGCCGAATGAACCCAAAACCACGTGAGGCAGCATCATCACTACCCTTCAACCCACCCACCTGAAGGATCCGCAGGGTGGCAATAGCTGTGAAGATTGAGGCAGCGGAAAGGGGTTCTTCGAAAGCCACACAGGAAGCGAAAGTGGCAGAGGCGACGAGGAGAGGCGACATCCAGAGGAGGACAATGTTGGCCGCCATGAGGTAGTTGTAACGCGGTAACCATGCATGCAGGTTGCACTACCCAGGTAGTGGCACGCCAAGTGAACCCAAAACCACGTGAGACAACAGCCTTCAATCCACCCACCTGAAGGATCCGGAAGGTGGCAATGGCAGTGAAGATGGACGCGGCGGACAAGGGTTCTTCAAATGCCACACAGGCAGCGAAGGTGGCGGAGGCAACGAGGAGAGGCGACATCCAGAGGAGGACAATGTTGGCCGCCATGAGGTAGTTGTAACGCGGTAACCATGCATGCAGGTTGCACTACCCACGTAGTGGCACGCCAAGTGACTTTTGAGGCGCCTCAAAGGTTGCACTACCCAGGTAGTGGCACGCCAAGTGAACCCAAAACCACGCGAGACAACAGCCTTCAATTCAATCCACCCATCTGAAGGATCCGGAAGGTAGCAATGGCAGTGAAGATGGACGCGGCGGACAAGGGTTCTTCAAATGCCACACAGGCAGCGAACGTGGCGGAGGCAATGAGGAGAGGCGACATCCAGAGGAGGACAATGTTGGCCGCCATGAGGTAGTTGTAACGCGGTAACCATGCGTGCAGGTTGCACTACCCACGTAGTGGCACGCCAAGTGACTTTTGAGGCGCCTCAAAGGTTGCACTACCCAGGTAGTGGCACGCCAAGTGAACCCAAAACCACGCGAGAAAATGGCCTTCAATTCAATCCACCCACCTGAAGGATCCGGAAGGTAGCAATGGCAGTGAAGATGGACGCGGCGGACAAGGGTTCTTCAAATGCCACACAGGCAGCGAACGTGGCGGAGGCAACAAGGAGAGGCGACATCCAGAGGAAGACGATGTTGGCCGCCATGAGGTAGTTGTAACGCGGTAACCATGCATACAGGTTGCACTACCCAGGTAGTGGCACGCCAAGTGAACCCAAAACCACGCGAGACAATGGCCTTCAATTCAATCCACCCACCTGAAGGATCCGGAAGGTGGCAATGGCAGTGAAGATGGACGCGGCGGACAAGGGTTCTTCAAATGCCACACAGGCAGCGAAGGTGGCGGAGGCGACGAGGAGAGGCGACATCCAGAGGAAGACGATGTTGGCCGCCATGAGGTAGTTGTAACGCGCTAGCCAGGCCGCCTCCTCTGCACGATAATCCTCTATCTGCTCCAGGAACCGCCCCTCCCACGCATGCAGCTTTATCACCTATGTTGTGGAATGGTGGGGAAGAGGGGACCGAGTGGGGGGCGGAGGAGGGAGGGGTACGTGATGGGTGAGGTTCAATAAAGGCTTCTTACATCCAGCCCCTTCCTATAACACCTCTCTTCGTCCATCACCGACGCCCAACCCCTCTCCCCTCTCACTTCTATCCACCCACTCCCCCTTTTTCCCCCAGCGTACCTTCATATTGTTGAGTGCCTCTGTAGTAGCCTTCAGCCTCAGATCCTGCCAGGCAGTTCGTTCCTTCTGGCACTCCCTGGCCTGCCCCGCCACGAGCAGCTGAGCCCACATCATGAGCACCATGGTGGCCACGCCTGCCAGCGTGCCTGCGGGGCCCACAGTGGCGTGCAGCAGCAGCAGCGCGAGTAGGATCTGCAGAGGCAGCGTCCAGAGGTTGTTCAGCTGAAACATCATGTCTGCTACTCGCTGGAAGGGGGGGGAGAAGGAAGGAGGAAAAGGGAGGGACGGGGGGGAGAACGTTAACAAGAAGAGAGTTGAGTGGAAAAGCGGCAACGTCCAGAGGCCGTTCGGCCGGCACATCATGTCTGTTACTCGGTGGGGGGAGAGGGAGAGGGAGAGGGGGTGTGTGTGTGCTGGGAGATGGGAGGGAGACACGATGGGGAGGAGAGAAGAGGATTGGGAGGGGAAGAGGCCAGCACGATTTGCAGAGGCAGCGTCCAGAGGTTGTTCAGCTGAAACATCATGTCTGCTACTCGCTGAGGGGAGCTCGGAACACAGGAGCATCACCCACACACACACACACACACACACACGCGCAGAGATCCCCTTCACTCGACACCGTCTCAACCAGCTTGCCTCCTAGCAGCATGCCACACACCCAGTACCCCCTTGTCCTCCCCTTCTCACTTGCCATCCCCCACTCACCCCTCCCCCCCCCTCCCCCCCCCCCGCCCCCCCCAGTTACGTTTAACTGATCCCTCCTAAACCCAAACCCTTGAACCTTAGACCCCGTAACCTTATACTCCGTAACTTAGACCCCCAAACCCCCTCACCTGCACGTCAAGGGCCATGTAGTTGACGATCTCCCCCATGGGGTGCGTGTGCCGGGCAGCATTGCTTAACCTCAGCGCCTTGTCAAACACATGACCCGTGAGTGCCGCCCGCACGTTCATCCCGAGTATGTCAGAGCGGAAGTAGAACTGGTGCTGAGCCACCGTCTCCACCAGCTTGCACCCCAGCAGCACCCCGCACAGCCAGTACCCCTCCCACTGCTCCCACGGCTCGTCTGGGGGCGCCCCCGGGCTAGGGGCTGGCGCTGCTGCTGCTGGGGGTGCTGCTGCTGCTGCTGCTGCGGCTGCTGCTGCTGTTGCTGCTGTTTGAGTGACAAAGAGTGCAGTAGAAGAGGCAGCAGCAGCTGCAGCAGAAGCAGCAGTGGCGATGGCTTGGGCAGTGGCGGTGAGGTTGGAGGAAGCAGCAGGAGCAGCAGCAGCGGAGGCAGCAGAAGAAGCACCAGAGCTGAACAGTCCCGTCAGGCCAAAAGCTCCAGTCAGGCCCATCCCCAGCGCTGCTAACGGCCCAGCCAGATCCATATGCCAGCTCCCAGTGCTACTGCTGCAGCTGCCACCACCAGCAGCAGCATCACCAGGAACCCCAGCAGCACAAACATCACCAGCAGGGCCTCCTCTGTCAAAGGTCAGCACAGGCACGTCTCCCCCAACCACCCTCACGAATTCCGCCAGCAGCGACGGGCCTATGTACAGCAGCAGCGTTTCCAGCCCTGCCCAGAACGCAATTGCCAGGAACTTTCGCCAGTAGGTGAGCCAGAGAGTCCAGGCAATGGACGGTTGTTGGAGGGGTGTGTAGAGCCGGATGCGATCCCATGTGCGGTAGAAAGCTTCTCGGGCAGCATCCGCCGTGTCCCAGTCTGCTAGAAACGGAATGTCGGGCAGGTCTAAAGGTTTCTGGTGCCCCTTGGCGAGAAGCGGATTGATCCACTGGAAGGTGAGAACGTTCCACCAGCCTGCCCGCTCCCAGGGGGTGACCCCTGGGTCGGTCGGC